ATGTCTCAGGCGACACGGACCAGACCACCTCGCGCGCGGCATCTCGGAGCCCAGAGTTGGGAGGAATGTCTCAAGCCAAACGGGCCAGACCCTTCATTGATCGTAAGTTCGGAGCCCAGAATAGTCAGGACGTCTCATCGAGATGGGACCTTGTGCGCGGCAGTATCGAGCTCAGAGGTGCGAGGATGTCTCAGGCGAAACGCGACAGACAAACGGGCTAGAGCATCTCGCGAGCGGCATCTCGAAATTCAGAGTTACGAGGATGTTTTATGCGAAACGGGTCAGACCACCTCGCGCGCGGCATATCGGACCCCAGAGTTGCAAGGATGTCTCAGGCGAAACGGGCCAGATCAACTCGCGCGCGGCATCTCGGAGCTCAGAATTGCGTGATAGCCTCAGGCGAAACGCGCCAAACCACGTCTTGCGTGATATCTCGGAACCCACAGTTGCAAGGAATGTTTCAGGTGACGTGCCAGACCACCTCGCGCGCGGCATCTCGGAACCCAGAGCTGCGAGGATGTCTCAGGCGAAACGGGCCAGATCACCTCGCGCGGGGCATCCACCTCGCGCGCCCAGAGTTGCGAGGATGTCTCAGGCGAAACGGGCCAGATCACCTCGCGCGCGGCATCTCGGAGCTCAGAGTTGCGAGGACGGCTCGGGCGAAACGCCCGACACCGGCGGATTCGGAAACGAGAAGTTGTGATCCCGCCTCGCGTTATCGCAAACTGGAGGTCGGCACACCACCAAGCACGGGTCCAATAGTGATCCGCATGTTTTTACCAACGCGTCTTACAGATGCACGGCTTCTGACCTGACCTCACATTCGGCAGAGGATGGATATGGTAGTTGATAGAATCTTCTTGGGCGCATCAAGAATGAAAGGTTGCATTATTGCCGCGACCCCCAGAACCCGAACCACAAGGAGGAGGGATAGAGTACTACGTATAATATCTACACACATGCAATGTTACTTGTTTGCCTTGCCCGTTGCCCCAAACTCCCGCGTAGGAGGCATAGGATAGTGAGACCAAGGGTGGACAAACATATGTGCTTGCATGTGGAGGAGGGGGAAGGCTCGTGGGCCGAAGGACGGGCAAACCAACAAAGTTCAGTTCACAATTTGGTCTCGCAGCGCCGAGCTCCCCTTGAGGGGTGCGTCAACGGACGAACACATGAATGTTGCAAGTTTGCATTTTTGCTTCGCCCATCCCACCCCCAAACAGGAATCGGTTTTAGGGTAGCGGGCTCGGAGGCTCTCCAGAGACCGCCACAAGCCACTCGACTCGAAGATGGACTCCCACATGCCTCCTCCTCATGCGCCCCCTCCTCGCCCTCCTCCTGCTGCTCCTCCTCCTCCTCCTTCTCCCATGCTGCTTCTCCTCCTTTTCCGCCTGCTGCCGCAGGGGATGGTCCGCCATTGCGTATCTGGCTCAGCAGACTCCAGGGGCCCCGCGACAAAGCTCACGGAGTCCCGGAGACGCTCCGAAGAGGTCCCCAAGAGGCTCCAAGAGGCCCCACGAGGCCCCCCGAGAGGCCCAAAGAGACGCCCATGGCGCCCCCTACATGCCCTTGCAAGGCTGCCCAGAGACCGCCAGGGAGCCACACATTCGTGAACGAAATTCAGGGGCGCATCGTCCAGATAGTGTTCGTCATTGCGTGCCGAGCATTTTCCAGTTTTCTGGCCCAGCGCAGCGGAGTGACACTTGTACGCTTGCAGGGCATGGCGCGTCGCAGGGGTCGCCGCCGCGACACGCTAAGCAACAGTTTCTGAGCGCAGGAAGGCTCGGGGACCGATGATGACACGGACGAGGACGAGGATGATGATGGCGACCATAATGATACGCGAGTTTGACGTACCGTCATGATTCGCAGCGCTGGGCCAAGGATGCTCTCCATGGTGTTGTTGATGATGTTGATAGTGAGTCTGATCATGATGGCTTTGATGATCACAAGGAGTATGATTGTGAGGAGTACAAGTGTTAGGTCTGAATTCAGGAGGTGGGTGAGGATGGGTACGGTTATGTCACGCGCCTGCGCTAGATCTTCCAAGATCTTCCAGCCCCCCTCGGCCTGGGCTAGAACCTGAGCGCGCGCGAAGCGCGCGTGATGGGTCTAGTGTATGTATATGTCTATATACACACATCTGGGATGTCCTGGCCCCGGGGCCCCGGGGCGGCCCCCCCCCGCCCTGAGGCGCTCTCCGGGCGGCGACGCGACGCCCCGAGACGGCTCAAGATTGCTCCCAAGGCGTCCAAGATAGCCTCCGGGCACCCATGAGGCTCCCAAGAGGCTCCCAGCTGGCCCCAAGAGCGCTCCAAGACGGCCGCACGTGACATCCCGACGACTGCCCACGGGACGCCCCAGGAGCCACAGGAGAGCCCCAGCAGGCTCCTCAAGACGGCCTCGCGAGGCCAAGAATCGTCAAAGTCTTTTAGGGGAACAGTGCATTTTTCACCAAATCCACTTTTGCAGTCTTCACGGCGTCGAAGACAGCCCAGTATACCTCCAATGTCGTGATCGGAGCTCCCGGGAAGGCTCCTGCATTGTAGTTTCGCTTGAGGGTGGAAATCCATCAAATCCAAATATCCTAATACAAACTCATGGTTTCTTCATTTCTCATCCCAGACTTGAAGATCGCCGCGCGAGCGTTTCACTAAAGGGGCTCTGTCCATCCCCGATGTATCATTTGTTCGGTGATAGAGTTGCTCTGGAACTCAGGTCGTACAGGCATTCTGCATGATCGATGCCTGGTGGGGAGGGTCGACTGACGCTCGAACCCGCTGTAGTTTTCTTGGGGTCGTGCTCGGCTTAGAGGGCACTTCCGACGCTCGACCCCCCTTTTGATGGGCCTGTTTTCCACCACCGCCACCATAAGTTGGAGGGGGAGGGGGTCCTCCTCCTCCTCCTCCTCCTTCTCCTCATCCTCCTCCTCCTCTACGTCCTCTTCCTGCTCCTCCTCTTCCTCTTTCTCCTTCCCCCCTCCAACTTATGGTGAAGGTGGTGGAAAACATGCCAAACACCCTTCCCGGGCCCGAGGTCGTCGAGCTTTCGTTTTATCTACCCCCGTGCGGCGCGTCAGGCTTTGGCAGCCTGCTTGCCTTCCGGAGGGGGGTAAAATCACACAGACACCATTCATCGTCGATTCCTAGGAGGAACCGGGAAACTAGGGGAAGTGGGGGAAAAGGCAAACACCCCGAACATGTGGGAACAGATGGGGACTCCTGGGATATGTGTGTATTTATTTGTATGTCTTTGGGCCCCTTCAACTCGTCCAGAACTTCGGGGCCCACGCATGGAGAAAATTGGAGCAGCCAGATGTCTGGGAGGGCTGCTCTTCTTTTTTTCTTCTTCTTCTGCTTCTCTTTATCATTATTATGATTGTTCTTCATCTTATTTTTCTTATTATTCTTCTTATTATTATCATTATTGGCCTTAGTATTATTATTGTTTGTTCCGCATTTTTGTTTGCACACCACATTGCAGCAATACTTAGGGGGAAGACGAAAACCCAGATAATATGTGGAAATATGGGGAATCCTGGGATTAGTGTGTATTTATTTGTGTGTCCTTGGGCCCCTTTATCCCTGGTCGAGCCGCCTCGCAGGTCCCACGACGTCCCTGAGCCCCGTACCTCCCCAGACTCGTCGAACTTTCGTTATCTACCCCCGTGCGCGTCTAAACTTTGGCAGCCTGCTTCCCGGCTCGAACCGCGCGCAGACCCCACAGCGTCCCTGAGCCCCTTGGAGCGAAGCCCATGCCAAGAAACACCCTGCTTGCCTCCAGGGTGCCCTGGGATTCTTGGGTTTCGATGGCTTTTGCGACGGAAAGCGCGACGTTCCCACACCGAGAATCAATGGATGTCCTGGGGTCTCATGGTTGAGCTTCTTGTGGAAGGTTTCCTGTGGACTGGCCTCCACCGCGCCTCCTCGCCCTCGCCCCCACACCGAATTGCGGGACTTCGAGGCGGCCCTCCCGAAAAATCCCGCGGGAGTCGCCGGGAGGCGCCCAGGAGGCCTCCAGGAGGCCCCACCATCAAGGCCCCAGGAGGGCCCCGAAAGGGCCATCCCGAAGTCCCGCGGTACGCTCGTACGCAGAGGCTCGCGAGACTGACGGAGGTCAGCCACGCGCAGAGGAGGGTGGGGGGAGGGCTTCTCACAAGCACCTCTGCTTCTCAGAAGGCGCGGGCTTTAGATGTAGATGTAAGGCCGGCGCCTTCTGAGAAGCAGCCTCCTTCTAAAAAGCCCTCCCCCCTCCCTCCACCCCCTTGTGCGCACCGCCCAAAGGCCCCAGGGGGGCCCCGAGAGGGCCATGCCGAACGCTCGCACGCAGAGGCTTGCGAGACTGACGGAGGGCGTGGGGCCCGTCGGGCCCGCCCCTCCCAGCCTCTTGCGCTCGAATCCTCAGGCCGTTGGCCTGCCAGGCAGGGCCGCTCGTCCTCCTCCTCCTCCTCCTCCTCCTCCTCCTCCTCCTCCTCCCTCCTCTTCTTCTCCTCCTCATCTTCCTCCTCTTCCTCCTCCTACTCCTCCTCCTCCTCCTCTCCTCCTCCTCCTCCTCGGCCTCCTGATCCTCCTCCTCCTCCTCCTCCTCCCTCCTCCTCCTCCTCCTCCTCCTTCTCCTCCTCATCTTCCTCCTCTTCCTCCTCTTCCTCCTCTTCCTCCTCCTCCTCCTCCTCCTCTTCCTCCTCTTCCTCCTCCTCCTCCTCCCCTATTAATCTGGCATATACACGCCGGTCGTTGAGAGTAGGTAGTCCTGGACCCCCAGATCCCAGCCTATTTCAAGCGCCTTCCTTTTTCCAGAGTCGATGTGCTTCTGCTGTGTTATGTTTTTTCTCTGGGAGGGCGCCCGAACCCGATCTGCTTCATCCGCCTTCCTACCTCATGCTTCTACCTACTCCTTCCGACCGACAGGCAAGCGACGCCCAGCTCTCTGGCTTGAGGGCATCGCAAGAGAGAGGCGGGGGAAAGGGGGAGGGTGGAGCGCGCGAGCCGCCCGGCGACGAGGACCGGCGCCCTTTGCAGCTGCACAGGCTGGCGCAGGCGCCGCCGCGCGCCGCTGGCTGGCTCGCTGCGTTCGTCGAACGGCCCACGTTGCGTGACACCTCAAGACTGTCGGGTGTTGCTAAAGGTGCCCCTGGCCCCAGGTGCCCCCAGGGGTTCCAGGGAGGCCCCAAGGGCGTCCAAAGCACCCCTCGCGAGGTTCAGGGGGCCCCAGGGGCTCCGAAATGGCGCGGAAAGCGGAGGGCACCTTGGGCCAGGGACACCTTTAGCAACACCCGAGATTTGGCATCGCTCGGACGAGTGCAGTTTCCTCGGGCCATCCCGAAGCATCGTTCCTTGATCACCTTGCGGCACAAATGCACGCGCGAAACCAAACAATGCAGGGGGAATGGACGTCGGGGAGGTGAGGAAAAAACGCCCCGCTCGCTGCTGGCGGGCTCGGTGCGCTCGTCGAGCGGCGCATGGGCGCATGTCAAGGGAGGCGAAAAGCTCCCCGACTCTTAGCGGGCGAAAAACGGTTTTAAGCAAACTTTTCCGTCGTCGGGGACGCTTTCCCCAGCGCGGCTGGAAAGTTTATACCCTGACGTGGCTTTGTGAGTTTTAATTGTCCAGCCGGCCCGGTGGCAGGCGCCCCTTACGGCGGAACAGTTTTTTCTGTAACGTTCTTCGCCCGCTAAGACTCGGTGCAGAAATCCAATCCCTACCCTCGCCGATCGACGATTTTCAAGCAACTCGACGGGCGTCGGGGGTAGGGTTCGGAATGCGTCGAACACGTGGCGAAATCCGAACCCTAATTGCCCCCGCATCCCATCGATTCTGGAGGATCGATGGTTGGTGGGGGATGTCGCCACCTACGGACCCTTAGCTGGCGTTTACTAAACGGCCTCTCTGCTTTCTATCATGTCGGGGGCTGCCAAGAGGTGGGTGATGACTAGGGGTGTGTGCACATCACGGCCAGGGTTAAGTCGGGCCTGTCCTTCTACAGGGGGAATATTCAAAAATAGTCAAAAGATAGTCCAGGGACTATTTTTTGAGTATTTGTTTGACCATTTTGGGGTATTTCTGCTGTGCTTAATTTTTCGCCGAAATCCCCCTGTAGGGGGACACGCCCGACCTAAGGCCAGGGCCACGATAACTCCCCCGCCGTCACGGCCCCCCTCTCTTCTGTCGATGCCCCCCGCCCCTAGCCCTCCCCTGGGCCGCGCACGTGCCTACAGGGCCACGATGCGCCCCCCCGCCCCTCGTCCTGGCTTCGTTTCCTCATTGGAAGGAGAACCGCCCGGACCCAAAAATTTGCGTTTACTAAAGGGCCGTCAGGCCAGGGAATTTTCAGAGTACCCGCCACGGTGGGCAAGCCGCGCTGCCTGGGCCCACCCGCGCCGCTAGGGTGTACAGAGTGGTCCGTGGCACCTCCTGGTCTGAGGTGAGCGTTGCCGATGACGTTCGCGGAGGCAACGCCCCCCACCATCCCGCTGCCGCGCACTCCCTCGTGCTGGCCGGGGTCGTGGGGGCCCTCCCCTCCCCCCCTAATTCGGCGCAGGTGGCCTGTCGCCTCGGCGCTATGGGCGCTCGGTCAGCGCGCGCCGGACAAGCGTTTACTAAACGGCCCCGGGCGTTTCCTAAACAGCACCGCCGCGTTCGATTCCTTCTCTGAGTGCGTTTACTAAACGGCTTCGCTTGTCGGGGTGGTTATTATGGGGGGGGGATTGTTTTGCCCTTCGTTTTCCTGGGCGCACTTCATTGAAAGCCCACCCCTGCCACGCCAGAGTTCTTCGCGCCTCGAAGCAGCAGCGGCGGGGCTCTGGACAGGGCTGGACCTGAACGCTGTTTTGCTGGACGTCGACTGCGTTATGTTTTTTTTGGTTTTGGGGGGGGAAGTGCAGAACAACATCTAGAGCAAAGCGGAAAATAACACGAACGACGACGTTTAGGTCCAGGTCTGCCTCATTGTGAGCCCACCCCTGCCGCGGCAGAGTTCTTCGCGCCTTGAAGCGACGGCGGGAAGGTTCTGGACGTCGTTTGGCCTCCAGAGAGGGAGGCCCTCGCTGGGCCCTGGCACCGTCGAGGGGCGACGTCGGAACAGGGTTGTTTCGGACGCATCTGGCTTCCAGGGGCCCACGCTGGGCTCCAGGACCGTCAGGGGAACGACTCGGGATGACCAAAGGGTTCAGGATGAGAAAATCACGCAGACACACACACCATCGTCGACCCCCATGAAAAATGTGGAAATATGCGAAGTGGAGGGGAGGACGGAAGTCCAGAACATGCTGAAGAACATGGGGGATCCTGGGATTTGTGTCTATTGAATGTTGTGTGTCCCTTGGCCCCCTTACGGGTTTGGATTTCTGTGCCCTCCCGCGCGGAGGGAGTTTGGGGGAGGGGGGCGGTTTCTTAAAAGCACCCCTGGTTCTTAAACGGTCCGACCTTGTCTGTACATGTAGGGCGGGCGATTTTCAAGAAGCAGGGGTGCTTCCGAGAAGCCTTCTGTTGCTCTCATCGTACTTAAGGACCACATCCCAGACATAATTTCGACCACCCCGAAAAGTGTCGAAACATAATCGAACGAGTGTCGCTTCCCATGGCCCGACGCGCGAAAACCCTTTTTTTTGGTGCCTATCCTGGTGCTCGAGATTTCTTTTGGCGACCGAGGCTAACTACAGTAGGTTGGGACAGCATAAGAAGAGCCTCCCCCCCCTCTACCCCCCCTTTGATGCGTGCCGCCAATGGGGGGCGGCTTCTTAGAAACACCCCTGCTTCTGAAAGAGGTCTGGCCTTGTCCCTTGTCTGTAAATGTAGGGCGGGCGCCTTCGAAGAGGCATGGGTGCTTCCGAGAAGTGTGTGTTCCTTTCCCTCTACCCGTAAGTCGGGCGTGTCCCGCTACAGGATGATGCCATCATTTTTTGGATTTTTTAGCGGTTGCCCCCTTTGGTGCGTGCCGCCGATGGGTGGGGGCATGGCCACGAACGTGCTGTCGCCCGGCCGCTGCGGCCCTCGCCCTGATGTATTTCCTCCCTTTCGAGACCGCTTCGCGCACCAAGATTTCAGCCAGGCTCACGCCCGAGTCGGGCGTGTCCCTCTACAGGAGGAATATCAAAAAATTGTCAAAAATAATGTGGGGAGGAGTCTTTTTCCATTTTTGGACCATTGTTGGGTACGTTTGTTTTTTGGGGTAAAACAAATCAACCAACATCCGCCTGTAGGGGGACAGGCCCGACCTAAACCAGGATTTCAGCAAGGCTCGTGCTGAAACCATGGACACGGGACACGTTGCAAAAATAGGCACATGTGGCTGAGGGCGAGAAGCCAAGAGTCTTAAAAGGTTCCGGCCTTGTCTGTAGATCTAGGGCGGGCGCCTTCGAAGAAGCAGGGGTGTTTCTGAGAAGCCTTCCCCCCCCCTCTACCCTTAGGTCGGGCGTGTCCCTCTACAGGAGGAAAATTCAAAAATAGGGAAAAATATTCAGGGGAGGATGTTGCTATCATTTGTTGTTTTTTGCTGATTTTTGTTGGTATTCTTCGTCCTACATCCGCCTGTAGGGGGACAGGCTTACGCACAGGGCTCGTGCTGAAACCATGGACATGGGACACGTTTCAAAAACAGACACATGTCGCGGAGGACGAGACGCCAATGATAATAATGTGAACACGCGGAGACTATCCCCCTTGCGATGTCGGGCGTGACCTGGGGAGAGCGGGGGGGAGAGGGGGCTGGCCACGTCGCGATTCGCGCCGTCGCCGTCTGGAAATGCTTAAGGATGGCTGGTTTCAAGACGGCACAGGCGCGAATCGTGGCGTGACCAACGGGAGGAGGGGGCGGGGGGAGGACAGGGCCAGTCACGGGCGCCATCGCGAATAAGCATGGCACTGATATGTTTCGTTTGCCTTTGTTCCTCTGCACGCACGTTTTGTTTTGCCCAACGTCCCCCCCGCATCCCATTTCCCATCCCTTGGCATCGCTCTGACGTTATATCTATATATACATATAAGAAGGGCTTCAAGCATACCTATACACATCTATAAATATATGTATGTATCTATACACTGGCGATGACCATCGAGGAGCATCTTGGACCATCGAGCGAATACACACGCACGACACCGAAACAGGAATGGGGTAATTAAATGACGAATGTAATGGAAGGAACTACGAATAACGAAAAACCCGAGGTGAACAAAACAATTTTGTCAAACATCATTTTTTCAATAATATATCCAGTATATTTAACATGTAAATATGTTGTGTGATACGATGTGACAAAACGAAAGTCGTGACCATATTGAATTACAGACAGAAATCGACTCTGAAGAAACGACGCACAATAAAGAACAATGTGTATTCTACATGCGGTAGCACATTCGACTTATAACAAAAAACATGCTTCTGTAGAAATGCGACGACAGACGACGAGGAGAGGAGAGAAAGAGAAGACGACCAGGAAGGGCCAAGCCCCAAAAGCGGCAACGCGCCAAGCGCGCACCCGGTTGTCTATGCCGGGCGGCCGGGGGGGGGAGGGGAAGGGACGAGTGAGCAGTTTCCACCCGCATTCGCACGCGCATTCGTGCACAGCTTCGCTCGTGATTAACTTAGTGTCGAATCAAATGCCGAAAGTTTTGAAATAACTGCCGGAAGGCCTGCTCTTGGAAATAATGAGGAAGCTTTCCCTAGAGGAATCAAACGAAACCCCATTCGCAGCGCCCTTATGCAAGCTGTCGCGACACAGCTGGAGAGCATGCATTATGTCTTCTTCCAGATCGATTGATTCAAGCTCTTTCAAAGCACTTAGATCGTCCGCAAAGCAATCTCAGAATGGACGCCCGAGAGATGGCGGGATCTCGGGGGGGCGGCGGGCGGTGGCGCGCGGGGGAGCACGCATGGGGCTCCGCCTGCAGTGACCGAGGCCAGGTCAGCCCCTCGGCGCTCGTCTGAGCTCCGTCCGCGGATAGTGACACAAGGACTGATGGGCATGCTTCCCACCACCACCACCATAAGTTGAAGGGGGAGGGGGTCCTCCTCCACCTCCTCATCCTCCTCCTCCTCCGCTCCGTCCTCCTCCTCCTCGTCCTCCGCCTCCCTCCCCCCTCCAATTTATGGTGGTGGTGGTGATGGTGGGAAACAGGCCCATCAAAAGCAGCGCAGTGGTAGGAGATGGCGGCGGCGAACGAGAGGGGGAGGTGAGATGGAGCGGGCCTTCCAGAAGGCACGGAAGTCCCCAGGCCTCCCGAGAAGTTTTCGAAGTCTTCCCCGAAGACGCAAAAAAGCCTCTCCGAAGGCGCGAGGGTTTCTGAGAAGGCCCGCCGCCTTCGGAAAAGACCTTCTCCTTCTCACTTCCCCCCCTTGGCTCGCCGCCGGGGGTGGGAGTGAGGTGTAGGACGTCAGATATGACGCTAGCGTGCCTGGCTTGTCTGACCTTCTGTTCCTCCGCCTCTCTTCGGAACACACCCACCTCCTCTCGCTGTGCAAATCACGGTTTGTGAAAAGTCACGGTGGGCGGATTTGGGGCCCGTTCGGCCTTTGGGGGGCCTTCGTCTGGGGCCCGGTTCCGTCAGAGAGGGGCTCGGGACGAGAAGCGAATCCTTGGGAAAGGGTTTAGACCTCCAGGTGTCTACGTCGCGAAGAGACATGTCGTCGGAGATTCGCGAGGAGGGCAACGATACAGATTCGCCTCGTTCCCCCAGCCCCCCTCTTTTCAAGAAGGCTGGAGGGGGGAAGAAGGATCCGGATCTGTGTAAAACGCTTCCACTCTTACCTCGTCCCTCTCGTCGCTCGTCGTCGTTGTCGTTTCTCCCGAGCGCTTCACTGTTTCACAGCAGGGCTGCCAGAGGTAAACTGTAGCGGAATGTTTCTTCCATCAGGCCAACGTCGGAGGAGACGACATGTGGGCGAATAGCCCGTTCGGGAGCAATTTGTGCATCTGGGTGCGCCGATGGTCCATGTCTTCGGCGAGGTTCCCCTCCGAATGCGTGGAATACCCGCTCCTGTCTCGCTCTTTCTACGACTCTCTCTTTCTCTCTTTCTGACTCTCCCTGTCTCTCCCTCCCTCTCTCTCTATCTGTATGTATATATATATATATACACATATCTCTCTCTTTGTCTCTCTTGACTCCTCCCTTCCCCTGACTCCTCCTCTCCCCTCACCCTGCCCGTTGGCGCTCCACCTCGCGGGCGAAAACGACACGTACGCATCCGCGGCCTCACGCGGAGCCTGGCCCTCGCGCGGATGCGGAGCGTTTTCGTCGCGCACGCCCCGCGCGGAGCGCGCCCGTGCGACCGCGCGATCCGCGGGGTCGCGCCTCCGGACATCCAGACCGCGGGTGCCCGAGCGTGGTCGGGTGCTGCGCAACAGGGGGCGACCGGTGGCTCGGTGTCGCTTAACCGATCTCCATTCCCTTCGAGACCTCCACGAAATGACCCCCCCAGTTGTGGACACGCCCCTCGAAGCCCGAAGGGCACGGCCTACATCCCCATCTGGGGGAGGTAAATCGGGCAGAGGAGGAGGAGGAGGAGGAGGAGGAGGAGGAGGAGGAGGAGGAGGAGGAGGAGGAGGAGTGGGGATCGGGATCGGTTAAACGATACTCAGTGGCGAGCCCGAGGGGCGCTGTGAAGGGGCCCTTCTGGGGCCCACACGGGGCACGAGAGGTGCGCGTGGCTTTGCCGCTCCAGCCATCCCCCCGCCCCCCTTCAGCAAAACGGCCGAGGGTGGATCTGGATTTCAGGGTGGATCTGGATTTCAGTCCCGTCCCTCCACAGGAGGAACATTCACAAACAGTCAACAACTACTCCCGGGGGTCGATTTTTGTTCCAGTATTTTTGTTTCCTTCTTTGAAATCTGTCTTAGCATTTTTGGTGTATTTTTGCTTTATCGTCCAGAATCCGACTGTATGGGGGACATAAATCTGGATGCGTTCGCCGCCCGTGAGCGCCCCGCCCCCCAGCTGGCCGACATGAGCCTGCAGGAGGCCCCGGAGGTTGCCCGCCTGTGCCAGTGCCCCCCCTCCCCTGGCGGGCCCGCCGGGCCCGCTCGGGGCGCGGGGCAGGAAGAGGGCGAGGGAGGGGAGGGGTCGAGACGCGGGAGGGGCGAGGGAGGAGACGGGGAGAGGAAGGGGGAGGATAGGGGAGGGCATCGAAGAAGAAAACCACGCGATAAACATAAACTTTTGGCGCTCCGCCCGGATTTCTTGGACCCGCGCCTGGACCCCCCCCCAGCGGCGCCTCCGGCGGCGCCTATGGCGCGCTCCGCGCGCCAGGGAGGGGGGTCCGGCGCAGATCCAAGAAATCCGCGCGGAGTGCCAAAAGATATGTTTATGTGTTTCTTTCGTTTTCTAGGGGAGGGAGGAGATGGGGGGGGGGGGGAGATCGAGGGGAGGGGGAGGAGGGGATGGGGCAGAGAGAGGTGGAAGGTCCTGAGGAGCAGTGGCGTCCGTCTGTTCGGCCGTATATCTGATGCAACGCGTTCCATCATCTGCCCGATCGCTGTGCTCTCAAGTCGGGCATGTCCCTCTGTAGGAGGAATATTCCAAAGTTGTCAAAAATAATCGAGGGACGAACGATTGTTTGATTTATGTTTGCTTTTTTTGTTTCTTCTGTTTTTGGACTATTTGTAATTTTTTCCCCAATATGCCCCTGTATGGAGACAGGCCCGACCTAACTGTGCTCAGTTCTATCGTACGCTTTGGAGGTTCCCCCACGCTTTGCGCGGTTCGCCTCTGCGTCGGGCGCCCCCTCGTGTCCCGATGTTCGTCCGCGATCGGGTCCCGCTCGGAAGCTTTCGCACCGGGTTGGTACCACGGGCGTGTCCCCGTACAGGCGGAGTGTGGACGGAAACATATTGAAAATACACCGAACAGATTCGAACAGATGGTTTTTGTTGGGGTATTTTTGAACATTCCCCCTGTAGAGGGACAGGCCCGACTTAAGGGTACTCAGCAGCTCTCTTCTTCAGTCTTCCATGGCGAAGCGGGCACTGGTATAGCTGAGTCCCTCGTCATATTGGAAGGAAAATGGCAAGCGAGGGGGAGGGGGGAGGGAGAAACGTTGAGAAACCAGCGACGGCCCTCTGAAGATGGGGAAGCTGGGGGAGGCGGAAGAGGCGAGAGGGGGCGGCGGAGGAGGAGCGGAACAGGAAGGCAATGTTTGTATGCTTGTGGCCTTGACTTTGGGAAGGCTGCGCCGCCGCCAGCCCGTGCCGCACGAGTGGCCGCCAGGCGGGGTGCGCACTCGAGCGAGAGAGTGGGCGTCGGGCGTGGCCCGGCGCGGCTCAGCGCCCATGCAGACCTGCGACGCCCCGGTTTTCTTGTTGTGCGGAGTCACCGGAAGGCCCCGGGACCGGCTTTTCATGCCGGGGCGTTTTTGGATAGCCCCTGGGCCCGGCAGGGGTCTCTTTGGGGCACCGAGCGGCAACAGTGGTGTTCCCGTCCTGCTTTTTGCAGGATGCGAGCATGTCTGCGTGAGCGGCGCGAGGCTAGTTAAGTGTAAATCGGGCGCGTCCCTCTACAGGAGGGATAAACAGAAATTTGCAAAACATAGTCTAGGGACGATGTTTTTTATATAGAAATATATATATATATATATATATATGTATATATATATAGATATAATAGTATTTTGGGGTACTTCTCATTTTTCCTCCAAGATCCGCCTGTAGGGGGACATGCACGACCTAACGCGAGCATGTCTGCGTGAGCGGCGCGGGGCTCAGTTCCTGGGCCGCTGTGGGAAGCCCAGAGGGCCAGGGGGAGGCTCCGCGGGCTCCTCCCGGCCGCCTGCTGCGCGGAGCGGAGTCCTCTCCAGCCGCGGCGGTGGGTTCTCTCTCTCGCGTGGCCTGAAGTCGGGCCTGCCCCTCTACAGGGGGAATATTCAAGAACAGTTAAAAAAAGAGTCCGGGGACGATTTTTGGACAATTTTTGAGTATTTCAGGGTATGGCCTGACAACTTTTAATTTTTCGTCCAGAATCGGCCTGCAGGGGGACAGGCCCGACTTAACCGTAAGTCGGGCCTGCCCCTCTACCAGGGGAGTATTCAAAACAGTCAATCAAAAGTCAGGGGACGATTTTTTGGCAATTTTGTTTTCTAGTTGTTGGCGCATGTTTCTAGCATTTGTTTCTATGATTCGTCCCAAAATCCTCCTGTAGGGGGACACGCCCGACCTGAACGTGGCCCCTTCTCCAGGCTGGGGTCGTTTCGATCTCCCCGTGCAGTTCGATTCGATTCGATCTCGATGGGTGCCGATCCCGATTCGATTCGACTTGTGAATCCGATGCGGGCTCCAGTTTCGCACTGAAGGCCTACTGGCATGCCGATGTTCGCCGATCCGGCTTTTCCCGACCCGGCTGCCGATTTCCGCCGATCCGATTCTTTTCGATCGCAGATCCGATTTATCGATTCGATTCTGGTCTCTCCTGCCGGGGGCTGACGACAAGGGCGTGGGGTTTGAAACATTGTCAGAACTCCCGAAACCGCGCGGCGGCCACGCCGTTGCGTGAGGCAGTAGGGATTCGGGGTGGCCGCGCGGCTTGGGGACCCGGGTCGTCCTCCAGGTGTCTCGAGCGAAGGGCCCCCCCCCGGGGTCCCCAGACCACGCGGCGACGGACCGCGCAGCGAGGCCTGGAAGGGCTTCGAAGGAGGAGGAGGAAGAGGAGGAGGAGGAAAGGGTAAAAGGAGGGATGGGAGGGAGGAGGAGGGAGGGAGTGGGGGGAGGAGGGGGGGGAGGGAGGGAGGGATGGAGGGAGGGAGGAGGGAGGGAGGGAGGGAGGGAGGAGGGAGGGAGGGAGGGAGGAGGAGGAGGAGGAGGAGGCGGAGGGAGGAGAGGGATGCTTCCAGAAGCCCTTATGGATAGAGGAGGGAAGGAGGAGGAGGAGGAGGAGGAGGAGGAGGAGGAGTCACCGCGCGGTCAGTCGCCGCACCGTTTCGGGACACCCAGAAGGGTTGGAAGAGGGGGCGGCGGGTGGGTCCAACCGTGCCAACCGTGCAAATGGTTGCGCCGCCGCCGGGTCCACTCCTCGATACGTGGCCGCCTCCAGCGCCAGGAGGCGCTGGGGAGACCCAGTTGCGTACAACTGACTCCCTCACCCATCCTCATCGGTAACTTGTATGATCATTCGTTTCGATTCTCTCCCTCGCCCTATCGACACTCCTCCCCCTTTCTCGACCACCCCTGTATTCGACCAGCCATCATCCCCCCTTCTCCTCCCTGTTTTCCTCCTTTTCGTCCACCCCGATCCTCCTCCTCCTCGCCCTAACGGCCCCCTTGATTGACGAACACCCCTCCTTTACCACCCCCCCTGTCCCAGAGCACGGCCAGTCGAGACAACGCCTGGGACCGGCACCAAAGCTTCTCCTCCTCCTCGTCCTCCTCCTCCTCCTCCTCCTCCTCCTCCTCCTCCTCCTCTCAGGCGATCGCAAATTTGGATCAAGGGGGCGTGGATTAGCGACGGGTCCCGTTTCCCTGGGGAATCGAAGATTTCCGCCGCCGGACGAGGCGGCACCGGCCGCATCTTGGGGAGGGCACCTCCCCCGATCCGTGGATTTGGCGACCGCGCGCCAAGTCCACGGATCGCTCATCCATGCTTGCGCGCCCCCGATCCTCCTCCTCCTCCTCCACCTCCTCCTCCTCCTCCTCCTCCTGTCTTCTCTCGCCCAGCCAAGTCCGTTCCAAAGACCGGCCCACGGGCCCCAAGAGGCCCCGGGCCCCAAGAGGGGCCCGTCCAGATCCGTTCGCCGAGGCTGTGCCTTCCAGCCTTGGCGACGAGTGGCCACCGGCAGGCCCAGTGGGCACGGGGAGCGCTGGTGCGAGCCGGCGTCGTCTCGAGCGGCCCCTCTTGCAGGAGGCAAGAGGCACGCAGCCGCATCTCGTCGTCGACTCGTCGTCGACGCCCAGAACAGATGTCGTCTCGATCGGCACTGGCAGGAGGGAAAGGGCGCACAGGCGCAACTATTAATGGGGGAAACGATCGAAACAAATCGCCCCCCCCCCCCCCTCCCCCCCGGACCTCCCAAAATGATTGAGTGGGGCGGACTAACAGAATTCAGCGGCCGGAAACTGTTTTTTTAATCGTCCGCCCCCCGGCGTTGGCTTTTGCCCCTTTGGGGGGACTGATTTTCTATTCGTCCTCTTTCGCTCGCTTGATCGCCCGCGGCCGCGGGGGGGGATTGCGGAGGGGGGACGGGGTAATTAGGGAGTAGTTGAGGGAAGAAGGGGTTTTCGAAGAGGCGCTTGATCACCCTCGTCCTTGCGGACGGCCGCGGCGATTGGGAGGTGGGGGATGAGGAGGAGGAGGAGGAGGACGAGGAGGAGGAGGAAGAGGAGGAGGGGGGAGGAGGAGGAAGAGAAGAAGGAGGAGGAGAAGGAGGAGGAGGAGGAGGAGGAGGACGAGGAGGCGGAGGAGGAGGAGGAGGAGGAGGAGGACGAGCTCGCCTGAAAATTACCCGTTCCACCCCCCTGGCCCCCGCGCCCCCCCCCCACCCCGTGGCCCCCCCCCCCCCCCCCCTGGCCTTCCAGGCAACCCGAAATTGTCAGCCCCACGTCTGCTTGCCCTGCCCCCCCGCTATTGCGGGGGCGAGGAGGCCCGCGAAACATGTTTTTTTTTTTTTTGCTAAAATAATATGTATATATATACATATACATATATATGTGTGTATGTATGTATGTATATATATATAAAATCATCGTCCGCCCCAGAAATTTGTGTGTACAAAAAAATCGCTTCCCCCCATTTTGTTGGGCACGTCCTCCCACAGGCGAGCTTTGGACACGAACAATAAAACATACCCCAACAAATACGCCAAACATATGCAGAAAGAAAAGGCTCAACGAATGGCCCCCGTATGTTTAAACAATTAGTTTTGGATGCTCCTCCTGTAAAGGGACACGCCGCACGTAGCACAAAGAGTCGTCGACCCCTCGTGGACGCCCAGGAAAACATGGGAAACGAGGGGGAAGTGGGGGGGGGGACGAACACCCCGAACATATGGAGAAAACAAATAGGGACTCCTGGGAGCTGTGCCCAGGCGCCCTGGGACAAAACAGGGACTCTTGGAAACAGATGGATAAAAAGGGACTCCTGGGATAAAACAGGGGTTCCTGTGATCAAGCAGTGGCGAAGCGTCCTGGCTCGCTTATAGCCCTACCAAACAATATTCTAAGAACCTTTTGTGGTTTCCACGAAATGTTCGTAGAACATTTCTGGCAGAGTCTGTTTTGTTTTGACACGTCGGGCTTGCGTTCTGAGAACATGGTTTTGTTCCTGGAGCATTTTTGGGCTCTAAGCACGCTTCGTGGTAGGACTATAGGAATGCCAGGACGGTCGGTCCCTGCTCAATGTGGGTCCTTGGGCCCCCTGCGCTCCCGCGACCCTCGTCGCCCCCCCCCTTCGGGTCCCTCCGCCCCCGGCCGCGGCAGAGGTACCCGGAGCGCCTGGCCGCGGCCCGCACGGAGCGCGGCGCCCCGCCTTTGGGTGCCTGGCATCGCTCGGACGTGTGCACCTTTTTCTTGGCGAGGGCCATCCTCCGCCTCCTCCTCCTCCTCCTCCTCCTCCTCCTCCTCCTCCTCCTCCTCCTCCTCCCCCTCCTCCCCTCCTCCTCCTCTCCCCTCTCTCCTCCTCCTCCCTCCTCCTCCTCCTCCTCCTCCTCCCCTCCTCCTCCTCCTCCTCCTTCCTCCTCCTCCTCCTCCTCCTCCTCCTCCTCCTCCTCCTCCTCCTCCTCCTCCTCCTCTCTCCTGCTCCTCCTCCTCCTCCTCCTCCTCCTCCTCTCTTCTCCTCCTCCTCCTCCTATGCTGGGCCATGTTGCGAAAAAAGCCACGCGTGAAACCGAGAAGTGCACGGGGAATGGACGTCCGAGCGATGGGGCAGGGGGTGGCCCGTGTCTTTGACTGCAGGCGTCAGAGAGACCTTTCGCATAAGTGACTTTCTGGTGAGGGCCCATCGGGATCCCGCAGTATCGTTTCTCCGACCCCCGTCCCCATCCTCATCCCCTTCGAGAGAGCCCCACCAAATTGCCACCCCAGTTGGGGATACACCCTTCGAAATCCGGAGGGGACGGCCGATATCCCCATCTAAGTGGGGTAAATCGGCTAGTGGGGCCCAGGCCATGCCGCTGGGGATCAGGATCGGATAAACAATACTCGATTCCTCCGATCGCTGAGCGCGATGCGATGGCAGGTGATTGCGCGCTTGGCTTTGGCCACCTTGCGCCCCCACAGTCCGCGCCCGAAGAGTCACTCTTACCCAGGGTCGCTTTGGCGTGCAGCCTGTGTCTGTGCAGGAGCGAGACAGGGACGCACACATACATGAGCTTGGCATCGCTCGGACGTGTGCATTTTTCCTTCGGCGAGGACCATCGAGGAGCATCCTTGATCATTTGGCGAAAAAACCACGCACGAAACCGAAAAAAACATAGGGAATGGACGTCCGCGCGATGGCCAGTGAGTCTAGGTTGGTTTCGAGGGTACGTATGATGCGAACCTTCGTTATCCTGGGGAACGAACAATGACATAAGCATACAAGCTCGGAGGTCCGCGCCGACTTCTCGGATCGGCGCTGGGCCCCCTTGGCGGCGCGTCCGGCGCCGCCCCTGGCGCGCTCCGCGCGCCAGCGAGGGGGGTCCAGCGCCGATCCGAGACATCACGATGGACCTCCGAGTTTTTGTGTTTTGTCATTATTCGTTGCCCCAGTATCGCGAGGCTGGAATCGCGCACCGGGAGGGCGTTTTCATGTACGTGGCTGGGCGCGCACGTCCTTCTTGTAGCCTCCCCCGCCTCTGCAGGGGGACGGAAGGAGACACGGTGAAAGCGTCAGTCGGGACGATCGAAATGGGTACGGAGAGAATGGGCACGATGCCCAACAGCAGTCCCTGTTCATCTTGAACAGGACTCGCTGTCCGCGCCGCCGCGGACGTTGTTCACTGACGACAAAAAGCCGCCTGCCGGACAGCGGCCGCTGACGGCTTTGAACAACATTGGTTGTTGGGCATTGTACTCATTTTTGTCCCTACCCACTTCGGGCGTCCAACGTCAAGGGATGCAGCCCTGAGATCTGGCGCTCTTCCAAGAGATGGGCGCGGGCGGCTTGTGGCCGTCGCCGGCCTCGGGGGCCAGTCGCAGATCCCAGGGGCCGTGACAAAAGCCACTCTGGACCAAAAAAACGGCCCTTGGGAAATGATCCAGACCTGCGGGGCCCTCCTCCTCCTCCTCCTCCTCCTTCTCCTCTTCCTCCTCCTCCTCCTCCTCCTCCTCCTCCTCCTCCTCCTCCGCCTCCCCCTCCTCCTCCTCTTCCTCTTCCTCCTCCTCCCCCTTCTCATCCTCCCTGCAGCCCCTCGGCGGCCCTCGGCGGCCCTCCGAGACCCACGGGGCCCTTGGAGGCTCTCGGTGGCAGCTGGACATTTTGGAGGGCTGCCTGCTCTGCTTTTTCTTCTTCGCCGACCCCTGGTTTGCACAGCACGATGCAACAATATGTGGCGTGTATGTGATCCTCCTTCACAGTCGAAAGCGTCTGCACATGGCCGTCGCCCTTGGGGCGAAGATAGCCGCGCATCGAAGCTGGATATCTGTTTGGAAGCTGGGACGGACGAAGACGAGTGAACGCACGAAGAAGCGGGGAGGGCCAGAAGGGAGGTCAAGGGCAATCGAACTCATACAATTGATCCGCACGTGCCAGGTCTGCCGGGCCGGGTATCTCTACATGGCCGGGCCGCCGATTCCACAAAGATGGCCGCAATTTCTGTGCACACGATTCCGTCCCTGTTCGTGCAATGCCTGCCCATGGTCGCGCGCGGCCTTCACCCTGGGCGACTGCGTTCTGGCAGCATCTAGTTCCCCGCTGTCCGAAGCAACTAGGAGACGACGAACATGGACGAGCACGATGATTTACAGGGTACGTAGCACGTACAATCGTATACATATATGTTATATATATATGTGTGTATGCATGCATGTATTTTGTGTTCTAAGCCTGGGCGGGGGGAAAACCCCACCCACAAAAACCGGACTCCCGGGATCTTGGGCTTTGGGACCCTCCGGACGGGCCTCGAAGCGTCCCCCCGGGCCTCGCAGGGCGTTTTGCCAAGCCTTCCCAGCACACCTAGGGCGATCATGTGGTCATCGGAGACGTCCCAGAGACCCCCAAGACAGCACAAGCGCGCTCCAAGAGTGACCGACGTGACCTCAAGATGGCCCAAGAGACATCCAGGACGGCCCCAAAGGCTTCAAAAAGCCTCCAAGAGCACTCCCAAGAAGGCCCCAAGAGGCAACAATCATTGATTTTCGGAGGGTTGTTCGTGAATTTTGGGGTCCTCCTTCTTTCGGCTTCCCGACGCTCCAATGCGGCAGTCTTCTGGGAGTCCGAAGCCGCCTGGGAGGCTCCAAAATCGCCCCACAACCATCCGAAAGGGCTTCCAGGCAGTCCAAGAGAGCCCCAAAACGGCACAACAGGTGTGAAAAATGGCCTAAGAGAGCCCCATGCCGGCCCAAGACGGCCCCAAGACACTCTCCGAAGCATTCCAAATCGTGACCCGGTAGGAGGATGGGGAAAATGCGCAGGGTATGGCGAGAACGAGGAAACAGAAGCATGGATGAAGGATAACGAATAACATCATTTTGGCGGCGATGTTGGAAAAGGCAACAAGGAGTTATCGCTAAACTGTCGGCTTGACCTTCCTGCCATTTCGCTTGCATACCAAACTTAAAGGACCAAGGTGCATGGCGCGAAGCGCCACTGCAGTCTTGTACATGTATGTGTGTGTACATATATATATATATGCTACACGCTGGCGCACGGCTTCTTTTTCGGTGCAACATGCATCTGGCTGCTGCATTTCCCCGGCTGGTTCAAGAAGTCTACACACTCTCGAAGTGAATTCTAGACGCTTCGCGTATCCCCACCAGCCCGTCCAGAAATGAGCTCCAGGGGAGTGGAGGTGATGAGGGAAGCGGGGGAGCATGCAGAAGAACAAAGAGCGGGTTAAGCCGCCATACGCCCCAAGAGGGGGAGGATGTAGGAGGAGTCGTCGTCGTCGGAGTAGGAGGAGGAAGACGAGGAGCAGGAGGAGGAGCAGGAGGAGGAGGGGGAGGAGGAGGAGGAGGAGGAGGAGGAAGATGAGGAGGAGGAGATGGAGGAGGTTGAGGACGAGGAGGACGAGAAGGAGGAGGAGGAGGAGGAGAAGGAGGAGGAGGAGGAGGGGGAGGGGGAGGAGGGAGGAGGGAGAAAAAGAGGAGGAGGAGGAGGAGGACAATGGCGAGCTTGGGGGCCTCTTGGGCCGTCTTTGGGGCCTCTTGGCGGTCCCGGAGGCCTCTTGCGTATCTCGGGGAGCTTCTTGTGGCCTTTTGGGAGTCTCTTGGGGCGCTCTTGGGAGCCTTCGGGGCGCTCTTGGGGCCATCTTGGAGGAGATCGATCAAAGAAGGGAGGGTCGTATATTAGCGCTGCCCCTCTAGAGTGCCTCGAATCGCCTCTTGGGCCCTTCTTGAGGCCAAAATCCGTCCAAAACCTAATGAAAATCAATGTTGTTTGCTTTCTCGCCTTTTCGCTCTTGGAGCCGTCTTGGGCCATCTTGGGAGCCTCTTGGGGCCTCTTGGAGGTCTCTTGGGAGCTTCTTGGAGGCCTTGGGGGCCTCTTGGGGCCTCTTGGGGCCTCTTGGGGCGCTCTTGGGGCGCTCTTGGGAGCCTTCGGGGCGCTCTTGGGGCCATCTTGGAGGAGATCGATCAAAGAAGAGGGGGTCCCCAATTAGCGTTGCCCCTCTAGAGTGCCTCGAGTCGCCTCTTGGGCCCCCCAAGAGGCCAAAATCCTTCCAAAACCTAGGAAAATCATTGTTTGTTGCTTTCTCGCCTTTTCGCTCTTGGAGCCGTCTTGGGCCATCTTGAACTCTCTTGGGGCCTCTTGGGGGTCTCTTGGCAGCCTCTTAGAGGCTTCTTGGGGGCCTCTTGGGGTCTCTCGGGGCCCTCTTGGGGCGCTCTTGGGGCGCTCTTGGGAGCCTTCGGGGCGCTCTTGGGGCCATCTTGGAGGAGATCTATCAAAGAAGGGGGGAGCTCCAATTAGGGTTGCCCCTCTAGAGTGCCTCGAAGCGCCTCTTGGGCCCCCCCAAGAGGCCAAAATCCTTCCAAAACCTAGGTAGAATCAATGTTTTGTGCTTTCTCGCTTTTTCGCTCTTGGAGCCGTCTTGAGCCATCTTGGGCGCCCTGACACCTCGCGAGACGCCTCGTCCAGGTCAGTGGGGAGGGGTAAGGGGAGGGGTAAACCCCTCCCCGAAGGGAAAGAAGGGGGGTTGGCAGAGGAAACTCCCTAGACCACCTACGCCCTAAAGGGCTGGTGGGATTCATCGCAGCCGCCCGGCCGCAACGGTTCTACACCCGCCGCTGCGTCCCCGGAGTGCGACATACGGAGTGGGGAGGGGAAGAGAGGGAAGCCAACAAAGGACGCCATCCACATCTTTGCCTGCCTTCTCTGGGGCTGCCCTGCGTGAGTCAAGGGGCGGCCTCGGGTCCCATGCAGGCCATCGGACCGTCGGGTGGGCGGTGCCGGGTGGCTCGTGCGACCTTGCAAAGTCGACTTCTCCTCCTCCCTCCTCCTGGTTCTCCTCCTCCTCTTCCTCCTCCTCCTTCCAGCTCTATCGTTCACCCACCCCCCCTCATCGGAGTCGTGCTCTCACTGCTGCAGCATAGTGCTAGTCTTCCTAATCGAGGCAGGCCAGAAATCGGCGGCTCAAGCGCGGCAGCAAGCCAGTCCCCTGTATGGGTGTGCGTTGTCTGCCCGCGGCCAGTCCCCTTCTTTCGTCCTGCGCCCCCTGGCTCTCACACCTGTTCCACCTCCCCCTCCCCCTCCACCTCCGACTCCTCTTCCCCCTCCTCCTCGCCGTCTCTCGGAGGTCGCCGAGGTAGACACCGACGCCGACCTTGGCCAGGCTAACACCGGGCCAAGGATGGTGCACATGCCTCCGTGGCCCGTGGCCAAGCCACGAGGGCGTGCACACCGATTATGTGCCCAGGACGGCCCGTGTTTGATCGTTGCTCTTGCAGTGCAACTGGCGTCCTCCTCGCCTCCTCGCCCCCTACTTATCTTCCTGATTCCTCCCCGCCTGCCTCCTCCCTCCCCTTCCCGCTTCTCCTCCTGTCCTCCTCCGCTCCGTTCTCCCGATCTGCACGCTGAGGCCCCGTATTCTCTGGCGCAGCTTCGCTCTGGCAGTCGTAGGAAGTGTGGCCCGTCTCCTTTCCGAGTCTGGCAAGCGCAGGCGGTATTCGCCTTGCGTCAATCCGAAGGGACACCTCACTCCTCGTCCGCGGTGCCTGCGGCCATGGAAGTTGCTGAGCGGCACGTTAATCCCCTAAGCGCGTTCCACTACTCGCAAAATGCCTACTCGAAAACGTCCGAAACACACATGCCTGCTTCGATGTAATTTAACGTAGATCCCCCGCGGCGGATCCAGGCCATTTGCGCGTATCTACTTTGCGAGTAGTGGAACGCGCTCGTCTAGTCAAGGGAGTGCCGAGGCACCGCCGACAGGTGCTCACCGTTCGTGTCAATACCTTAGGTCACAGTATTCAGCAAGTTGACAGGGTGTTGATATGTGCGTCGTGCTCGGCCTACACTATAGTGCCAGGTGGGACCTTGCGCGGGCTTGCGAGTCAATGCAGAGGCGGGTCCACGCATCCGCCCATTCGGAGCCCTCAGGCCAACCACGTTAAGCATGCTGTGCTGGGGAGACACGGGGGCCGTGCTTGACCCTGTCTGATGTTTGTGGGGTGGGGGCCTGGCGAGCGTCGGTGCTCCACCGTCTAGTAGGGACCGCCACTGCAAAAATTATCCCGGCAAAGCAACATAACAGCGATGTGTAGAAGCATATCTGAAAGCATTCCCCTTAAGATTCAGATGAAAATCCAGTTGTAGAATTCTGCTGTTCTCGCAGTCGTAGTCGCATTCGCGATGACAGTCGCAGCGGCAACGGCAGTCGCAGTCACAGCCTCAGCCTCAGCCTGCCTCAGCCTCAGCCTCAGCCTGCCTCAGCCTCAGCCTGCCTCAGCCTCAGCCTCAGCCTGCTTCAGCCTCAGCCTCAGTCTGCCTTCAGCCTCGGCCTCAGCCTCAGCCTGCCTCAGCCTCAGCCTGCATCAGCCTCAGCCTCAGCCTCAGCCTGCCTCAGCATCAGCCTGCTCAGCCTCAGCCTCAGCCTCCTCAGCCTCAGCCTCAGCCTGCTTCAGCCTCAGCCTCAGTCTGCCTTCAGCCTCGGCCTCAGCCTCAGCCTGCCTCAGCCTCAGCCTGCCTCGGCCGCAGCATCAGCCTGCCTCAGCATTCAAAATGTGGCCCAGGAATGGAGTTCTGGGAACTAGAAGAACACGAAGTGGCCTACAGTTGGCTCCGGGCATTCAAAATCATGCCCAGGAATGGAGTTCTGGGAACTTGAAGAGCACGAAGTGGCCTACAGTTGGCTCCGGGCATCCAAAATGTGGCCCGGGAATGGAGTTCTGGGAAATCGAAGAGCACGAAGTGGCCTACAGTTGGCTCCGGGCATCCAAAATGTGGCCCGGGAATGGAGTTCTGGGAAGTCGAAGAGCACGAAGTGGCCTACAGTTGGCTCCAGGCATCCAAAATGTGGCCCGGGAATGGAGTTCTGGGAGCACCAAGAGCGATTTTGCGAGGATGTCCCAAGCGATTTCGGCTTCGGCGGCAGCTCCCCGGGTCCCGCCCAGACCCCCCTGAGGAGTCATGATGCTCTCTTTGAGACCACTAGAAACCTATCAGCAAGAGCTGTTAGGTAAAAAAGATGACCTCCCCCCGCGTGCTCCGCCATCGCGTGCTTCGTGCTGTGATGAGCGGTCTCCTCGGCCTTGGGCAGAGACCTCATGAGTCAAGCGCTCCCCTATGGATCGCTTGCGCCGTGGCTGCGCGTGCCGCACGAGGCCCCAGCGAACCCTGGATTGGTGCCAGCGCACCCCCCCCCCAAGCAGCAGCCGCAACCCAGCGCCTTCCACCCTCCGTTCCCCCTAGCTGCCGCTCCCCCTCCGGGTGCCAATGTCACGCTGTTGCTGGTTGCCCGTCAGCGTGTTCCTCCCCAGTGGTCCGACGGCCTGGCGTCTCGTCAGCAGTGGCGCGCAGATGGTTTCCCCACGGCGACGTGTCGTTGGTGCTGTTTCTGCTCCCCCACCCCCTTCATCCACAGATCTCCGACGCCGTGATCGTTTCCCAGCGTGGACCCCCAGAGGTCTGGAAAGGACCGCCTCATCCCGTGTCGTCTCCGCCCTCCTCCTCTTCCTCCTCCTCCTCCTCCTCCTCCTCCTCCTCCTCCTCCTCCTCCTCCTCTCCCCGTGAGCATCCCCGCCGCCCGGGGGGGGGCGCCTTCGGCCTCGCGGCCGCCTCGCGTGCCCCTCCCCCCTCGGAGCGGAGGACCCGCGGGTGAGGAGCCTGGTGTCTGCGGAGCCCGCCGCCGAGCCGCAGCTGCTCCAGGAGGCGCTTCCGGGCCCCGAGGGGCGGGGGCAGGAGCAGGACGAGGAGGGCGAGGACGAGGAGGGCGAGGACGAGGAGGACGAGGACGAGGAGGACGAGGACGAGGACGAGGAGGAGGAGGACGAGGGGGGGGAGGGGGACGAGGACAAGGAGGAGGAGGACGAGGACGAGGAGGATGAGGATGAGGATGAGGGGGAGGAGGAGGAGAAGGAGGAGGAAGTATAATAGGAGAAGGCGGAGGGGGGATAGGAGGAGGAGGAGGAGGAGGAGGAGGAGGAAGTAGAGTAGGAGTAGGGATGCTAACCCCCGCTCACCTCCCCCCTGCAGGTCAGCAGGTACGCGTCATCGTGGCTCTTGCCTATCTCTGTCGCTTACCTCTTTGTGTTTCTTTCCCCTCCCACCGGCTCACCGGCGGGAGGAGGCGAGGGCGCCACCCATCAGCAGAACTATCCGCAGTCCCGAGTCCCGAATGGGCTAGCTCCACCTCCCCTCGTTGTGTGACAAAAATATTGAATGGCCGTCGGCCCATCCCGCCACCGTGCCTAGGTTGTGGGTATGAAGCTTACTGGATGTTTGCTGGGATCTCGTGGGAGGCCTCTCGCCTCTTTTGGGCCTCCTTAGGGCCTCTTGGGACCCCCTTACAGACTCCTCAAGACAGAGGACCGAGGCTCCAGGGATTTGGCAAAGGACCCGAGGACACGCCCACGGCGTGCCCAGAGGCACGGTGGCGGATAGACGCGATGTGTTTTGAGAATGTTCGGCCTCTTGGGGCCATTGCTGGGCCCCAGGACCGTCAGAGCACGACTCGGAACGAAACGAGGGTCTTGGGGAAGGGGTTTGGGCCTCTGGGGTCCAATGCTGTGAAGAAACCACGACGTCGGAGAAATGGGGCTTAGTAGGTTGTCGGTGAGGATGACCAGGGCAAGGAAGATAAGGAGTCTCTCTCGGCGCGATTGCATAACGCGCCCTCAGGATGTGTTGGTTCTTCCAGGAAGTTTGCTTGCAACGCCCCGCCTGATCCAAATGCTCCGTCCTCCCCATCTTCCCTCTCCCGCTTCCAGCATCCTCCCCTCATGACCACTGTTTGTCACATCCCCCTACTTGCCTCCCGCTCCCTCCCCTGTCCTTCCTGGCCTTCTCCTGTCGCTCTTGCTGTCCTCACTGCGGTCATCGTCTTGTGCCGTGCACTCTGTCTAGTCATGTCACGCCTATGGCCCTATCGCCTGTCCTGTCCTCTACGCTCTGTTCCCCATCATCTGTCCTGTCTTGCTCCCTGAGGTGATCTCCTGACATCTGGTCTGTCTTGCTGCTCCTGTTCTGTTATGCTTCGTGTGTTGCGTCCTGTCCGGTGTCCCGTCCAGCGGCTTGTCCTGTGTCCTCATTTCTCAGCTCGTTGCTCTCCCGTCCTACGCCCTAGTTTCTTTGTTATACCCTGCCCCGTCTTGTCTGCGTGCTTGGCGCCCTCGTGTCTATCAATCTTCGACTCGGCGGGGTGGCGCCAGCGCAGCACGAGCCCCATCTTTTAGCAGGAGGGGGTGCCGAGGCGGGGCTGCGAGACCCATCCTCAAGGGATTGCCCTCGGGCCTGCGTCTCCGCAGTATTGTTATGCTCCTTCCTTTCTCTCTCTACTTCCATCCTACCTCAACTTCTCTGTCCGCAGTAGGGCTCTGTTCCTTCCTTGCTCTCTCTACTATCATCCTGCCTTCACTTCTCTGTTCGCCCCCCCTCCACTCGCAGGGCAAGAGCAGTTCCCTACCGATATCAGCAGAGAGAAACAGGCACATATACACACAAGAGTAGGTTTCGATGGAAATAGCACGAAGTACGGGAACTGGAGGGGAAGACCAACATCCAGAACAGATGGACACATACGAGGAGTTCAGGAGGAGGAGGAGGAAGAGGAGGAGGAGAAGGGAGTAGGAGGAGGAGGAGGAGGAGGAGGAGGACGAGGAGGACGAGGAGGTGGGGGAGGAGGAGGAGGAGGTCGGAGGAGGGCGGAGGAGGGCGGAGGAGGGGACGAGGAGGACGAGGAGGACGAGGAAGTCCTAGGCCTAGGCCGCAAATGCGGTCCACCGACGGTGACGGGTGTGAAGAACATGCGCCGTCTCCGCAAAGGCCAGCACCCTGATAAGGAGGGTGTGTCTGTTGACATTGATGAATTCATCCCATTGTTATAGTTTACTGGTAATTTGAAGTGGTAATTTGATGCTGCCCATCCAGTGCGCCTCCGGCTGATGCAGACAGGTCACATTCATTTCAGGGGCATGTGCGCTGCTATCAAAACAAGAGGAGGAGCAGGCGCGAGGCGCGAGGCGCGAGGAGGACAAGGAGGACCGAGCAAGTGGATCGAGGAGGGAGCGAGGAGGACGCGGAGCGAGGAGCGAGCAGGAGGAGCGAGGAGCGAGCAGGATGACCAGCAGCGGCGGAGGCGGCGGCCCCATGCAGCCCCTTGCGCCCGCCGCGCCTCCCAGCGCCCCGCAGGTGGTAGCCGCCCTCCGCGGTATGGGCCGGGCGCACGAGGCGGGCACGGCCTGGCCAGCCCCAGCGGCTCGAGGGCCGGGCAGTGGCGAAGCAGGGGCAACGATAGGGGACCGCCTCCTTCCCCCCCCCCCCTTCTCCTCCTCCTCAACCTCCTCCTCCTCCTCCTCCTCCTCCTCCTCCTCCTCCTCCTCCTCCTCCTCCTCCCCCTCCTCCTCCCTCCTCCTCCTCTCCTCCTCCTCCTCCTCCTCCTCCTCCTCCTCCTCCTCCTCCTCCTCCTCCTCCTCCTCCTCCTCCTCCTCCCCCTACTCCTGCTCCTCCTCATCCTCCTCCTGCTCCTCAACGACGGGGGGGATACCCTCAGAATCAGGGGCGTTTTTCGCCAGGCTTCGGGCCCCGGGATCCTCACAGATCGATCCCGCTCGAGACATGGGGCAGAAAGATCAAAGATCGGGTCTAGGGCTCAAGTCGTGATTTTTGTCGATGTTGCAATTTGTCCGCAACGTCGGATCTCATGGTAGGCATCGAGGTGGGGGTCCTCGACCCCCCTTCGTGCATTGATCGCCGATAAGGGGCCCGATAGCCCCACCCCGCCCAGTAACGTGCAGATTTGCTATCGGGGGCCTATCGCCGACCTATCGGCGATGTATTGCCGATTGTGGGTCGATGTTCCCCCCCCCAGTGCAAGTCCCCTCCCATCGTTGCCCCTCAGCGAAGCTCGGTACGGTCGAAATGAGTACGGAAAGAACGGGTACGGTATGTTCGCGTCGTGTCGATTGGCGGCGACCCCGCCGCTGGCGCTCAACGCTGCATGCTGCCGGCGACCCAGAATCGGTCGATGTTGAATGATATGGCGTTTCGGAAACGGCCGATCTTTCACGGTCAGAATCAGCGCAGGGGTCGACATGACGCGAAACGGATACAGAAATAATGGGCGCGCAGACATAACATATGTCCTGTCCATGCTGAGCAGGATTCGTTGTTCCTGTCGCCGCGGACGCTGTCCATCTGAGAGAAAGTCGCTTGCCCAACAGCGACCGTTGCCGATTTTTGACCACATCTCTTTTTTTAGGCATCGTGCAAGATTTCCCTGTACCAATTTCGGGCGTCCAGAAAAGCGTCTTGACTAGCCCAAAGTCCCACCAAATAATGACACAACCTGGAGCCTGGCGGGGTTGGACGACATTGTCTCTGAGCGCTTCGGGCTCAGGCAGCCTCGTTTTGAGCCATCGGCTCCACGTCCGGAGAACATTGCTCTTGTTATCAGAACATTATTTCGTTCAGCTTTCATCGCGCAGCTTGCACCACCCAGTATGCTACAGCACATTGTGTCGGGTCCACGCTGTCTAACATTGTTCCCCAATCAGTGCTTGCACTGAAGGGGTCTGAGCGGAAGTTGAAAGATTTGGCGAAAGTTTCCGGCCGATTTTGGTAGCAGGCTGGGTTCCTGTGTTCCGGGTTCCTGGTTATTGGTTCCGGGAAGATTTCGGTAGGTTTGGGTTCCCAGGCTCCTGGATTCCCGATCGATCTTCTCAGCGAAAACCACCCTTTGATCGGAGTTTTTTCTCTGGTGTATGTTAATGGGACATAATTCCGTCCTAAGAGCAGTCCGTGGCAGGCCTGTAAAGATGCTGGGACGGCCGGCACCTGCTCATTGTCGCGGCGGCTGGAGGGCCCGACGGCGAGCGGACGTTTCCTCGGGAGCCTCGGGGGCGACGGTGCGGGCATTTAGCCCAGGGGCAGGCATTGTACGCACAGTTCAACCTCATAGTCAGGCAGTAAGGGCCCACGGTTGCCCCTTGGTATTATTTGCGTCCGTGCCGTTGCGGCCCGTCTTTCGCGGTGTTCACTGGACAGCCTTTCAGTGTGTTGGAAGTCCGCCGCCCAAAGGTGCCAATTTCGGCGTCCAAGGCCCTTGCGTCCTTACTGTCCGTCCTTGCTATAGATTTCGACCGTGGCCCAGGGGCGGGCATTACCAGTATTCGCCCGAGAGCCTCGCCCAGGGCATGGACCATCGGCGCCCCTGTAAACAAGTGAGGCTTTCCAAAACGGGCCTCGCCTTCGAGGATCGAAGAAATTGCCATCTCTTCTGCGGCGGAAGGCCGGCGCAAGGTGGCGGGAGTTAAACGAGGCCGCTTCCGCCGGCGGAAGGGCGGCGGAAGGCGGTGAAAGTAAAAGATGCGCCCCCAAGGGATGAAAACGTTTTTTGGTTCAGGGTTTCCGACATCGACCATGTTCAGACACGCGCAGAGGGGGGTGGGGGGAGGGGAGAGGGCTTCTTAGAAGCAACCCGGCTTCTTAGAAGGCGCGGGCCTTATCTATAGATGTAAGGCCAGCGCCTTTTAAGAAGCAGCCTCCTTCTAAGAAGCCCTCCTCCCTCCCTCCACCCCCTTGTGCGCGGCGCCAACATGTATTGCCCTCCCCTGGCCTGGTCTCTTCGCCCCCCACACTCGCCCCTGAGTCTCGCCGGGCCGTGTGGCCGAGGGGCTCGGGCGCAGCGATCAGGGACAGGCGGGCCCGGGGTCGGACGAGAGGTGTCGCGTTCTCGGCCTTCCTCTGCGGTTTTCCAGCCGCGCCTCGCCGAGAGCGCCGGGGGGGGGCAGAATCTCTAGGCCTCCCATATGGGGTCAGAGTAGATGGGGTCGGAGGATCGCGCCGCATCGCCTATGCATCGCCGATGCGGCTCGATGTGGAGCCCGATTCGCTTAACGTCGACATCGCCGATGCATCGCCCGCGTCGACGATGCATCGCCAGTGCATCGCCGATGCATCGCCGATGTGTTGCAAATGTATCGGCGATGCGGCGCGATCCCCCGACCCCATCGGGGAGGCCTCTGGAATCGTCCCGAGCGGCCGCCGGAGAGCACAGGCAAGACCCGAAGGCGCAGGGGCAACGACAGGGAGGACCAGCGCAGGGGGCACGCAGCGGGCCCCATGTCGCCCTCGCATCGCCGAGAGGGGGGTCCGACAGCTCACACCGCCCAGGAGGACCGTGCGGTTCTGCGATCGGGCGCGCGTCTCCAAATGATCTGGAGGAGGGAGGAGGAGGAGGAGGAGGAGGAGGAGGAGGAGGAGGCGGAGGAGGAGGAGGAGAGGAGGAGGAGGTGGAGGAGGAGGAACAGGAGGAGGAGGAGAGGAGGAGGAGGAGGAGGAGGAGGAGGAGGAGGAGGAGGAGGAGGAGAGGAGGAGGAGGAGAGAGGAGGGCGGAGGAGGAGGAGGAGTTGGGCGAGGAGAGGAGGAAGGAGGAGGAGGAGGAGGAGGAGGAGGAGGAGGAGGAGGAGGAGGAGGAGGCTAGGAGGAGGAGAAGGAGGAGGAGGAGGAGGAACAGGAGGAGGAGGAACAGGAGGAGGAGGAACAGGAGGAGGAGGGAGGAGGAGGAGGAGGAGGAGGAGGAGGCTAGGAGGAGGAGCAGGAGGAGGAGAAGGGGAGGAGGAGGAGGAGGTGGAGGAGGAGGATGAGGAGGAGGAGGAGGAGGCTAGGAGGAGGAGCAGGAGGAGGAGGAGGAGGAGGAGGAGGAGGAGGTTCCCTTGGAGTGGAGAGGCTGCCCCCGGATGTTTGTTCTGGACCCTCTCGCGCGCAGCGAATGTCTCTGCGAAGCAGAGGGGGGCTGTGCACCGCTCCAGGGCGTGGCAGGAACGTTGGCAGAGGGTTCCTGAGTGCTCGATCCGCTGCGACGCCTGAACTCGGAGGTGGATAGACCTCCTACCCTGACACGTCGACCAGCGAATTGGCCGTTTGCGGTTCGCGAGAGGGCGTCGCAGCCGTCATTTTGCGGGTCCAGGTCCGTCGGTTTCGGTCCTAGGCCGTTTTCATTTAAGGGAGGTTCATTAAAGGAAGATTTGTCCACCGCCGATGATGCATTCCCCCCAGGTCCGCTGGGTCTAAGAGATTCTCGAGCTGTCCTCTCTGTCCGAAGTTGCCTTCTCCCTGCCGCCCGATCTGTGTCGAGACGCTCCCTTGTCGCTTCGCCCACGCGAGTGCCCATCTTCCGTTGAAATGATTTGTTTTGGTTGGGTCCCAGATTCCAGCATCGAATGGCATTCGGCCCTCCCCGCCACCGTGCCTAGAGACCTCTGGGATGTTCGTGGGTATCGCGTGGGAGGTCTCTCGGAGGCCTTCTGGACCCCAGGAGGCAGGTTTGAGGCCCCCGGGCGGCTGGTTGGGAGCCTTCGTTGGGGGCCTCTTGGGGCTTCGTGGGGGCATCTTGCGAGCCCCTTGGGGGCCTTTTGGGGTCCTCTTGGGGGCCTCTCGGGGCCTTCTGGGGGCAGCTCGGGGCCGAGGGCCTGTTGGGGTCCCACGCCTGGGCCCCCTCTTGGAGCCGTCTTGGGGGCCTCTTGGCCGTCTTGCAGGCCTCTTGGGTCGTCTCCGGGCCCTCTGGGGTGGTCTGGGGGCCCTCTTGGGGGGATCTCTGGGGCCTGTGATGCCGTCTTGGAGCATTGGGATTCCCAGATTTTAGTCGCCTTTCTAGTTCCAAGATCGAGGGCCGTGTCCTTGTCCTTCATCTGCAGGGGGCGGGCGGAAGCCCAATCTACTTCCAACGCCTTCCTACTTCATTCGCTCTTCTACACACTTCTTCCGAACGACGGATACGGTAGGCTTGGGGGGGATCGGAGAAATTTGGCAATGGATTGCACAGGATCTTGTCCCCAATGCGGGCTTGAAATTCTCAGGTTCCTGGCCACAGAACTCCTTCGATATGCGTGAGCAGGAGTGGAAGGGCCCTACATGAGGAGGAGGAGGAGGAGGAGGAGGAGGAGGAGGAGGAGGAAGAGGAGGAGTAAGACCATGAGGACCCCCACATCGTCCCTTTGTGACTTGCACGTGAAAGCACGACTGAATGTTCCCGGGGGCCCTCACTGGGCCCAGGGACAATCAAACAGCGGTTCGGGATGAAAAGTCTACCCCTGGGACGGGGTCTGGACGTTAGCGGACATACGTTGTCTAGATCTCACTGTCTCTGAGATCTTGGGATGAGGCCGGCTGCGGATGAGGACGACGAGGACCAGGAGGAGAGGAGGGTCAGGAGGTTGAGGACCAGGAGACGGAGGAGGGAGGAAGGTGACGGAACGTGCACGCCAGGGGCGAGGGAGCAAGGGAGGCATGGTGGGAGGGGGGGAGGCATGGCGGGCGACGGGGCCCCCCGCTGCCCCTCCCCTGGGCCGTCGGCAGGTGCGCAAGGTGCCGGACGGCACCTCGCCGTTCGCCCCGGACGTGTCCCTGGAGGAGGGCGGGCGCAAGGCGCGCCACGGCACGGTATGGGTGCATCTGTGGTTTTTGGAGAGCAAAATCAGTCATGTCGTCTGTTATCTCTCTCTCTCTCTTTTTTCTGCCGCTCTCTTTCGTCCCCCCTCTCGCCTCCCTGCCCCCTCTCCCGTCCTTTAGTTTTGGATTGGTCACATTCGTGACCGAAGGGTGCTCAACACAGGGGGGGGGCCCCCTGCGAGACTTGGAGTGCTGCGCGTTGGCAAGAAGGGGCCCCGCCCCTCTCCGCACCCTAGACGATGTTTGGGGAATCCCAGGCTGCACGCCCAGGCAACAAGACCAGCTCCGCATCGGAGGCCAGCTCCTCCAGGCTTTAGTGCTTATGTTGTGCGAGCACATGCGTGCTGGGACGGGTGGGTGGATGGAACATCCTATCCCCGCCACCTGGGTACCCGATGCCCCCTCCTGGCGATGGCCCCCGCTCATTGCCCTCGTTTCCTCCCCCGTTTCCTGCATGACTGATTTTGATCAGTGCGAGCATCACCCGGCCACTACTGACATGTCGCAGATAGGAAGAGCCCCAACCCGAATCATTGGAATTCGAATGCCCACGCTCCCAGAGTCTCTTACGAACACGCCAGGAGCTGGACGTTGCTCCCACGGCAAAGGGGCCCATTTCACCTTGCTTGGTAGGAAATGGGATGGTTCGTGGAGAACCCAGGCAAAGAAGACGTATCCCAGCCACCTATTCCAGGCGATTGCGAAGTCCATTTTGGACAGCGCCCAGCAAATCGTGGCTCCAGTTAACGAGGCAGATTTTGTCTTCGAATTCGACGAGTCAGGCATTACAGACAGTCTCATGCGTTTTTTCGTGTCATGGACCTCTGACTGCGACCAAGATTTTGCCCTGGCCCCCCATTTCGCCGGAGGCCACAAGTGTTCTCGTCGCAAGGTCGATCCAGAGTCGCACAGGTTTTTTCCTGAGTCCGAGGGGGATGGGGTTTTCCTGGCCCCCCCTGCCGAGGACCCTGATCCCATGGACCAGGAAGTGCTCTTCGATCCCCAGAGCCAGTCTGTCGCGACTGCTCAGTGGGCCTTGGAGGTTTCTCCTCTTGTCCCTTCCCCGCCTCCCCCTCCCCCCCCTCTCCCCCTCACCAAAGAGCAGCGAGCGAGGATCGCCCACAACCGAGCGCAGGCCAGGGAGAGGCGCTTGGTCCGTACCCAGGCCGCCGCCAAGGCAGCACACGAGGCCAGAGCCCCGTGGGTCGCACAAGGAGGCCAGCTCCGCATCCCCGACATGTTCAAGAAGGACTAGGGTGGGGAGCGCCTTTTCCTTTTGTTTCTGCTGTCTCTCTGCTGACAGTTTCAGAACCGATAGAGCACACTCATGGTCATGCCCCTCGTCGCACACACACCCTGCCCCCTCCGCTGGCGGTCAAGTCCGCTGCGCCCTGGCCGGGAAGACCACGCACACTCTTTCGCTGCCGCCCCTCTCAGGCCGGCATCTCGCTCGGACTCGTCCGTGGCTCCGACAGGGGGAAGAAGGAGGAGGAGGAGAAGGAGGAGGAGGAGGAGGTGGAGGAGGAGGTGGTGGACAACAGGCCCATCAGGAATGGCTGGCCGCGCAGCCGTTGGCGGCGCTGCGCGAGCTTCCGGGCCGCGCCGGGCGGGCGCCGGGCGGGCGCGCGCGGGCGGGCGGCTTCCCGTGGGAGGCGGGGCGGCCCCGAAAGCGAAACGCCCCCGGGGGGCGGCAGCGCGGCGGCCGCCGCGCAGGCGGCGTCCGCGCAGCGGAGCCTGCGGCGCCTCCGCGCGAGGGCGGCGGCGGGCCCCGACGCGAAGCAGCAGCGACCCTGAGAGGACGACGGCGAACGCCAAATCCTCCTCCTCCTCCTCCTCCTCCTCCTCTCCTCCTTCCTCCTCCTCCTCCTCCCTCCTCTCCCTCTTCTACATATGGTGGTGGCGGTGGTGGTGGGAAATGGGCCCGTCACTCCCCTCCCCTCCCGCCGCTTCTTGCTACTGGCTCCCCGCCGCCGCCGCCGCTCCCGCCCTCCGCCGCTGCAGCTGTTGTCCGGGCCCCGCCGCAACGCCCTCCCCGACCTCCTTTCGGGGTCGGGGGCGGCCAAGAGGGGGGTGATGACTGGGGGGCGATCTCAGGGCGCGGGCCAGGATATCTCTCAGATTTCATGGCGCCTCCTTTTATTTCATTGCGTCCCTGGCCCCCCCCCTTTGGGCCGCACAAGTGCCGCCAGCCATGATTTGCGCCCCTTCCTCCTGGACGCCCCCTTCGTGGCCGCCTCCGCCGGGGGCAACGATAGGGGGGGATGGCCATTTAGGGGGACACATCGAACCCCGATCGCCGACTGATCGCCGTTAGGGGCCCGATAGCCCCAACCTGCCTGGGAACGTTCGGATGTACCATCGGGGGCCGATCGCCGATCTATCGACGATGGATCGCCGATTCCAGGTCGATGCCGCTCCCGCCGCCGCTGCTGCTGCTGCCCTGTCCCACGCCGCAAATCCCTCACCGACCCCCGCCGTTCTCGCCGACCTCATCCCAGTGGCCAAAGAAAGGGGGGAAGTGAGCGGGAGGAGGCCTTCTCAGAAGCCGGCGGGGCTTCTCAGAACCCTCGCGCTTGCTGAGGGGGTTTCTTGTGTCTTCGGGGAAGGTCCTCCCCCTCCTCCTCCTTCCGAGCCAGGGGACTTCCGAGCCTTTGACAGGGCGTTTTCCTTCCCATTCCACCCCCGGCTCGCCGCCGCTCCTTTGTGGAGGGACCCCGACGTCGGTGGTTCAAGGAAGGGGCTCCTCTGCATGGGGCTTCGATGGACCAGGAGCCTCAAACAGTGCAGATCGTCCCTGGGCCCTGTTCCGTCCTAAAGTCGGGCCTGTCCCTCTACAGGAGGAATGGTGATTCAAAGATGGTAAACTAATACGTACTCAGGCGACGATTGTGTTCCGTATCTTGTTTTTCCCCAATCTGAGCTTGCCTTTGTAGGGGTCCTAGCGGATTCATAGGGTTAGGTCAGGTTTGTCGCCGATTTTCGCTGCACGCCTGGGTGCCCGGGGGTTGCCCGGGGTCCGGGTGCCCGGGGGGGGCCCGGGGGTGCCAGGGTGCCCGGGTGCTTGGGTGCCCTTGCGTGCCCAGGGTGCCCAGGTGTGCCCTGTTATAGCCCTATAGCCCATAGCCCTATAGCCCAACAGCCCTATAGCCCTACAACTCTATAGCTTTATAGCCCTATAGCTCAATAGCCCTACAGCCCTACAGTCGGGGCGATGAGGAAGGAACCCTTTTCGTTGGGGAGGGGCTCGGTGTTCTATAGTTGTTTTGTAGTTCGCCTTTGATTTTGCTTAGGGTTTCGATGGGACATCGAAGTTCAACTTATGGGAAAAAAGGGGCCTCGTTCCTCATTTAGGGTTCCTTAGGTCAACGCCCCGACTGTATAGCCCCCTAGCCCTATAGCCCTGACTGAGTTTATCTCCAGTCTCATGAGTAGTTTGGGGTATTGTTCGGGTATTTTAAACTTTTTGTCCAGACTGCCCCTGTAGGGGGACATGCCCGACCTAATCCTATCCTCAGGACCCCATCCCTCGGGACCCCGTTTATCGAAAAGTCGACGAGGGGGGAGGGAGAGATCGAAGCACCCCCAACGGCATAAGCGTGATTGTCCGGGGCTCCACGCGGATCTCTCGTGTGGATCGGCGCTGGAGCCCCCCCCCTGGCGGCGCCTCTGCGCCCAGGGTCCGGCGCCCGATCCAAGAAGTCCGCGCTGTCCTCGTGGAGAGTTCGAAGGAGGTTTCCTTGGAGTGGAGAGGCTGCCCCCGGATGTTTTTCTGGACCCTCTCGCGCGCAGCGAATGCCTCTGCAAAGCAGAGAGGGGCTGTGCACCGCTCCAGGGCGTGGCAGGAACCTTGGCAGAGGGTTTCCGAGTGCTCGATCCGCTGCGGCGCCTGATGTCGGAGGCGTATAGACCTCCTACCCTGACACGTCGATCAGCGAGTTGGCCATTTTCGGTTCGCGAGAGGGCGTCGCGGCCGTCATTTTTGCGGGTTCAGGTCTGTCGGTTTCGGTCCTATATAGGCCGTTTTCACTAAAGGGGGGTTTGCTAAAGGGAGGTTTGTCCACCGCCGACAAGTGTGCTCTTACGTTTTGTTTTTTTCTTCTAGCGAAGGGGGGGGGGCATCTTGAGACATCTTGTGGCGACATCCTTCGCGACCAGGAGGTCGCAGAGGAGGACGCAGGCACCCATACCGCTACCCTTCTCTCGTTCTCTCTGTTTCGGGCCTCCTGGGAGGCCGTAGTCGCCACCGCTGGATTCGCACCCCAGGACCGCCTCTGGGGGGGGCATCGAGGTTGAATCTATAATGCGTCGCCGATGAATCGGCGATCGGCCCTGGACATCCGATAGCGGATCCGCGCGTCCTTGGGCGGGGTGGGCCATCGGGATTCATCGGCGATGGATGGGCGATGGGTGGTTGATCTCCCCCCCTCCCTCCCTGAACCTATGCCCTCGTGGCTTTCGGGGCATAGCTCTGGGCGATCGGGGCGCCCCCAGAAAACGCTCCTGCTCTCACCGAGGCAGAGCAAGCTGGAAGGAAGCCCCGAGGCCCACCGTCCGCCAGACCACCCCGGACCAACCCTGAAGGCCCCGATCTGGCCTCGATTTCTGGTGGTGGTGGGGGGGGTGGGGGGTGGGGGTCCTGGCATCGCTCGGACGTGTGCATTTTTTCTAGGCGAGAACCATCGAGGACCACCCTAGACCATCGAGCAAAAAAAACACGCACGAAACCGAAACATGCACGGGAAATGGACGCTCGAGCGACGGCAAGTGGTGGGGAGTTGGGGGTGGGGGGTGGGGAACATGGAGAAACACTTGAAGCCCGTACCCCCCCACCCCACCCGAAATTCTGGCGAAGTTCGTGGCTTCGGGTCGGGTTGGGGTGGTCTGGTGCAGTGGGGGCCCACGCCAAGAAGCACCCTGCTGGCCTCCAGGGTGCCCTGGGTTTCTCGGGCTCCGATGGTGTTGCTATGGAGAGCGTGACACCCCCACGCCAGACATCAATGGGCGTCCTGGGGTTCCAGGGTTGGGTTTCCCGTGGGAGGTTTCTCGTGGTCGAGCCTCTGCTGTAGGCAGTCATCGAGGCCGGGGCGCCGCCGAGAGCCTGCGGAGGCGCCCGGAAGCCTCGGGCCTCGGGCCTTGAGGCTGCATCCCTCGAGCCTACCCTGAAGTAGGGCGTGTCCCTCCACAGGAGGCATCTTGAGAAGCAGCCGAACCATAGTCTGGGGGCAGTTCTCTTGCTGTCTTTGATTTTTGTTGCGTGCTTGTTCGTTTTTCTTCCAACATCCGCCTGTAGGGGGACACGCCCGACCCAAGCCTACCCCGATGTGGGGCGGGTCCCTCTGCAGGAAGCATCTTCAGAAGCAGTCAAGCAATAGTCTGGGGACAGTTCTCTTGCTGCGTTTGATTATTTTTGCGTACTTGTTTATTTTGTCTCCCAACATCCGCCTGTAGGGGGACACGCCCGACCCAAGCCTACAGGGTCCGGCTTGAATAAGGAACACTTATTTTTCAAAAGGGGCTAGGTCGTTCCTTTGGTTTGCATGCGTTCCGCCACTTTCTTGGCGGCGAGTCCCCCCGGTGTTCCTCCGGGCTTCCTGGACGTGCTTGGGAAAAAAGAGGCCTCGTTCCTTATTTATCGTTCCTTTGGTCAGGCCGAATACTGCCTCCTCCTCCCTCCTCCCTCCTCCCTCCTCCCTCCTCCCTCCTCCCTCCTCCCTCCTCCCTCCTCCCTCCTCCCTCCTCCTCCTCCTCCTCCTCCTCCTCCTCCTCCTCCTCGCTGCCCCTGCTCTGCCCGCCCCCCGCGCCTCCCGCAGATCGCGCGCGCGCGCCGTCGCTGGCAGGTCGGGCTGCTCACGGCCGGGCAGCACGAGGCCGCCGCCCCGCGCCGCGCCGGCGCCGCTCGCCCCTCCTCGGGACGCTCGAGACTGGTGCAGCCACGCGCAGGGGCTTGGCATCGCTCGGACGTGTGTTTTTTTCCTTCGGCGAGGACCATCGAGGAGCATCCTTGATCATTTGGCGAGAAAGCTACGCACGAAACCGAATGAAACATAGGAAATGGACGTCCGAGCGATGGCCAGTTGGTTCAGCCACGCGCAGAGGGGGGCGTTCCGAGTGAGGCGTTCCAAAGAGGGCCTCGCCTTCGAGGATCGAAGGAGGTGTCTGCTCTTCTGCGGCGGAAGGCGGGCGCAAGGCGGCGGAAGTGGAACGAGGCCGCGGAAGGCGGCGGAAGTAAAAGATGCGCCCCCAAGGGATGAAAACGTTTTTGGGTTCAGGGTTTCCGGAATCGACCATGTTCAGACACGCGCTCAGGGGGGTGGGGGGAGGGGGGAGGGCTTCTTAGAAGCACCCCTGGTTCTTAGAAGGCCCGGGCCTTACCTATAGGTGTAAGGCCGGCGCCTTCTAAGGAGCAGCCTCCTTCTGAGAGGCCCCCCCCCCTCCCTCCACCCCCTTGTGCGCGCCGCCAATTGGTAATTGCGGCAGGTTCGCATCGTGTCGACCAGCGGCGACCCCGCCGCCGGCGTCCAACGTTGAACGCCAGCGGCGGCCCAGAGTCGGTCGATGCTGAACGATCGGACGTTGCGGAAACGGTCGATCGTGCAAGGTTCAACGATCCCCGCGGTGTCAGGAACCAACGCCGGGGTCGACACAGCACGAACTTGCCGTACGGAAAGAATGGATTCAAAGAGTGACAGCAGTTCTTGTTCATTCTGAAAAAGGGTTCGCTGATGGCGAGGGCGCAGTCGTTGTCCATTTGAGACAGAAGGCCGCTGCCCAAATGTGGCCGCTGTCGGGTTTGGACAGCATTTGTCGATGGGCATCGTCCCCATGTTTCTCGTGCCCATGTCGGGTGTCATAACTTTCGCTCTCTCTGGTCATTCTCGGCGCCGTCTCGTTTCCGAGGCTGGGAAGGTTCGCGTGTCGAGGTTTTCGGGCGTGCTCGCGGGTTTTCGGCGGCTCTCCAGCCTCGGGATGCCCTCCACAGCTGCGCCTCGCCGAGAGCGTTCTGGGGGTGCCCCGATGGTCCCGAACGGTTGTCAGAGAGCCGGGTTATGGTCCGAAAGCCTAGGGTAAGTCGGGCCTGTCCCTCTACAGGAGGAATGCTCCAAAATAGTAAAACATAGTTCGGTGATTATTTTTAAATTATGGTTTTAATTGTTTTAAATGTGTTTTGCAACCTAGACCTAGACCTTGGGCATTTTAGGCTTATCCGTCCGCCTTGGACACCGATTGTCCGCTTGAACCTGGGGAGGCGGTGGCCGTGGATATTTTCGGTGGCCCCCGGGCCCCCCCCCAAAAACTATCACATCCAGTGCCCCATGGGATCCTAGGACGTCAGTTCCCCAGGCGGTGGGTATGGATATGGCTACGAACAAGGATCTGACTTCAGAAGAATGTGGGCAAGATATATATATATGAATATATAGAGATGTATATATTTATATATATAGAATGCCCTCGCACTTTATTATTGTATTTGCCTGTTTTTTCTCTTATGATTTCTTTCTCTCTCTCTCTCTCTCTCTGTTTCTCTCACTCCGTGTTTTGTTTTGTTTTGTTTTGTTTTGTTTTGTTTTGTTTTGTTTTGTTTATGTTATCTCTCTATACATTTTGGCGCTATCTCGCTTTATCCTTCACTGTTTATTGTGTGCCGCTATAGTTATGTGTCTCTCTATCTACGTATATGCGAATGTATATACGTATATCTAGATGAGTGGATTCACGTATACACATTTCCGTACACACACATGTGCACAGAGTCATATGTTTGTATGTAGGCATTTATACATGATGCATGTATGTATGCATGTATGTATGCATGCATGTATGTATGTATGCATGTACGCGTGTGTATATTCATACATCTACGTGTATACATATGTATGTATGCCACTCGGGCTGAGGCCTGAACATGTTTGCAGCGCTGGCCGATCCAACTTCGCGTATTTCTCGGCGCGGCTATGTCGAAAGAGCTGGCCAGCAAAATGCAGTGACCCGATACTGGCGACGACCTTTCGGGGCACCGGGAGTAGGATGACTACGAAAAGGAGGAGAGGGTCCCGGAGAGGAAGGGGAAACAGGAGGACATGGACATGGAGAACGGGAAGGACACGTCTCATGAGTTGAATGATGATTTGCGGTACGAGGAAGAACGCAGCGCAGATTCCATGCGCTACACTCGCAAGCAGGTGAAGACGACGAGGGAGGAGAATTACAAGGCGTCAGCCCGGAAGGAAGGAAGAATCATCACGTTTGTGGCGACCATGAGGATGGAGCGGCAAAGAGTTTCACGAATGGTTCCTCCCGACGCTCTCATACAAAATCATGGACAGGTTTGGCACGCCGCACATCACAAATGAGGAGAGATGTTTGCCCTTGCGGGTCAAGAACACCATGAAGATGCAAGAGGTGGGGTAACATATGAAGACTTGCTGACGGCTAAGGGCGCCAGAACCATGTTGACGCAGATTGAGTGACAGGCCAGCCTCCTGTGCATAGTTGCTGCGGCTCATTCCAAAATGTCCAAGATGATGAAAGGCCGCTCTCTCTTAGTTCCCGCTGGCCGGACATGAGCTCGCGACCCACGAGTTTCGGGAGCGCCGGCGCCTGGGTTTTGAGATGCAGACCAAGGCGGGCCACGCGTTCCACCGGGGCCCGCCAAAGGACGGCGAACAAATCGTGGTGCATCTCAAAAGCATCAGGGTCGGTGGCGCCGACCGCGCAACGTTCTCTGGCGTGGCCAGTCTGTCCGCCGACCGTTCTGGCGTCGGGGGGGGTTAGTTTTCGAATACCGTCCGGGAGCCAAGTTTGATTGTCCTGATCCGGTCCGATCCAGTTTGATTACGCGATTCTCCAGACAGCCGATCCCGGCCATGACCCCCGCTGCTGACCAGGTGATCCATGGGTACCTGGCTGGGGGTGACGGTGGCTTTGTGGCCCCGAGATGCCCGCAAATAGACGCCCCCTCCGCCAGCCAGGACCCCTTGGATCACCAGGTCGGCGGTGAGGGGCCTTAGTTGGGGTGGGGGTGCTTGCTTTTTCCACAGATTCGAGGTTGCCTTCTTCTCGGCGCCGCCCGAACATAGTTTCAATTATTATGTGAGCGTCGTCCCCGCCAGGGCGACACGCGCGCTCAGGAATATTATAGTGAAAGCCCTATGGCGGGCGCTGTCCAGCCAAGCCGCCTTGGAAACGATGCATTCTACGATGCTTGTGCGACATGTTCGTGCCCGACGTGCGCCTCCAACTCGAGCGCAAATGATGAGTAGGTCCTTCAGCGACCCATCCTTCGAGTACGCGACCGACTACAGAATTAATGCCCCGGCCTTGTTTTGTTCGTCGGCGCTACGAAACATAGGCAGAGTGCCCTCAGATTTGCGTTCATGCTGCGTGCGTTTCGTCGACACGGTGAACATGTCAATTATGAGGTAAGTCCATTATGTCGTCGGTTTCGTAGATTTCCAAAACGTAGCGGGCCAGGTCAGGCAAATGGTTCCTCGACTGGCGCGCCTCGCCGAAAGGACGGGCAGGCACGATGCTCATATTTTCGAGGCCGCGGCCTCCGCGCGATGCCGTCATGGGCACGGTGGGGCGCGATTGCGGCGTCCGCTTCGCTTCGCTTCGTTTCGAGAACCCACTTCCCCTGGACGGGGCCAAAAATAAGTCGGGCCCGTCCCTCTGCAGGAGGAATTTTCAAGAATATTCAACAAATAGTCTGGGGACTATTTTTCATTTTTTTTGACTATTCTGGAGTATTCTCGGTGTCTTTCGAATTTTTCGTTTTAGATCCCCTTGTAGGGGGACACGCCCGACTTCAGGCCACAACGAGGATAGACCCGTTCCAGGGCGTCCCGGAAGGCCGGACGGCTAACAACGAGGATCGTGCCGGAAGGCTTTGAGAAGACCGCGGCGCCCGAAACATCCTCCAGAGGCGCCAGATTTCAGAGATTCCTGATCGATCCCGACCCGAATTTCTCCTCGTCGTAGCTCCTCGTCCCAGCCTCGGCCTACATTCAAGAGGGAAACGCAAACGCACAGACACAATGAACAGCCGATCCTCAGGAAAATGTTAAAAAATGGGGAAGCGGGTGGGGAAACGAACAACTCCTTACATAATGTACAGGCACATATAGATGTTATGTTCATGTTTGTGTGAAGCTTTTTGCGTGTGCCTGGGCCCCTTCATGTGCTCGACTCCTCGCCCCCCCCCCCCTCCCCGCCGCCCCCCTCCCCGCCGCCCCCCTCCCAGCTCCTCCGGAGCGGGCCGCCGGGCACGAACTTCTCCGGCGCCGCGGAGGCGGGCGCGCCGGCCCTGCGGCGCCGGCTGCTGCGGAGCCGAGGCGGGGGGCGCGGTTCCGGCAGTGCTCCGGGGGGGGGGGGGCAGGATTAAGGCGAGCGTGTCCATTTTAAACAGGATGAATATTCAAAAATAGTTTAAAACATTGTCGGGGGACGATTTTTTTACCACGTTTGCCCATTGGGGGGGTATTTCTTTGTACTTCATATCGAATTTTTCGCTCAAAATACCCCTGTAGGGGGACACGCCCGACTTAAGGCCAGGAGAGGGGAGGGGGAAGCGATGAAAACGGGGGCCGGAGAGGAGAACGGAAAAGGGGCCAGAGAGGGAAGGGGCTTCTTCTCCCTGCTCCTTCCTCCTCCTCGTCGGTGTCCTCCTCCTCCTCGTCCTCCTCCTCCTCGTCCTCCTCCTCGTCCTCCTCCTCCTCCTCCTTCTCCTTCTCCTCTTGTTATTCCTTCTCCTCCTCCTCCTCCTCCTCCTCCTCTTCCTCCTCCTTTTCGCCCCCCTGGTGAGGGGAAGTGAAGAAGGGGAAATGGCAGAAACCTAGACTCTCCACGCTCCGCGCGGATTCCTCTGATCGGCGTTGGGCCCCTCTGGCGCGCGCCCCGCTCGTCAGGGAGGGAGGGTCCAGCGCAGAGCCGCGAAATCTGCGCGGACCGCTGAAAGTGTATGTTCATGCCTATCAATATACATATGTGTGTATGTACATGAATGTAAATATAAAGCTGTCATACGTACATATGCACATACACATACATACACATCATATATATATGTATGTATGTCTCTGGCATGCTTGAATGTTTGTATCTACATGTACATATGAATGTGTGTATGTATGTAATATATATATATATATATATATATATATATATATATATATATATAAGGGGAATGTCGGCATAGGGGGCAGCGGACCCTGAGGTGTTTCGCCATTCGCGGGCCGCCACGGGGCCTTCCACGCATGCTTTAGACATCGCACACGCACTGCAGTTCGTCGTCGAGAAAAGCCTCGACGATTACAGCAACGCTGCTCTTGCCCAGTGCGACGTCCAGACTTACTTTGACGAGCTGAGGGTCCTCCAGATCTGCAGGTGGCTGGTAACCAGGGGTTGTCCTCTCGAGGACGTGGCGTGTTTAGTGCGTGGTCAGATGATGCCCCGCGTGATCCTCTACGCCGGCGGCAGCGCTGTGCCCATCGTGAACGGGTCCACAGGGTGCTTGACATGATGCCGAACCGCTTTGATGCTTGCCCGGATCCCGGTGGAAGAGGTGATGAATGACAGGGCGGAGTCATGGAAGACTTGGGGGTTCCGCTTCGACGAGTCGTGCCTCAGGGCTGCATCGTACATTGACAATTTGTTCGTTTGCAGCAGCACGCCAGAAGGAGCTGTCCGCATTCCCGAGGATGCCAAACAGCAGCTGCAGACCAAGTGGTGGCAGAGGATCAAGCCGTCCTCCAAACTCGTGATGCCCGTGGCAGGTTGCCAGGCTGGCGAGACGCAGTTTCCTGGTTGGCAGACTGTCAATGAGTTCCCGGTCCTCGGCCACACAATCGCGGCGAATGGCAGCGCGGCGCCGTGTATACAGAAGTCCAAGAAAACCGTTTGGAAAGTTTTCTTTGCCTTCGCCGGGGCGGCATCTTTCTCAAAGGCGCCGCTGCAGGTCAAGCTCCGCCTCGTTTCCCGATCGTGCTTAGCACCCTTCTCCTACCGATGCTCGCGGTGGCCGCCGCGCGCGGAGCAGCTGGCAATGGTCAGCCGCTTGCTGACAAGGTTGGTTGCAGCCGCTATGCGAATGCGGAAGTGCCCCGGCGACAGCGCCGAGTCCTTCGCTAAGCGCCAGAACGCCCGTGCCGCGCGCAAGGCGCGGGAGCATGGAAGATGGTCAACCTTTTGGTGCAAGCGAGTGGTAGATTGGGACGGTCATATCAAGCGGGCCTATTGCCAGCAGCAGTGGAGCACGAGACTGGCGCTCTGGCGCGACGGCCACTGGCTCCAAGACCGCCGGGACCGACACCACCGAGGGCGCCCTCGCACGCGCGTCTGCCTAGGGCAACCGGCCGCCCGGTGGGACGAGGGCGTGGCGCTGGCCACCGCGAAGCCCCAGCTCTGAGTCCCCGTTGTTCCTATTCAACTCTTCCCTTCCTCCTCGTTTCCCCCCCCCTCCTCCTCCCCTCCCTCCTCTTGGACGTGCCAGTGACGCACGTAGCGTCCAATGTCTCCAGCCCAGGCTGCAGGTCTGGAGTCGTCAGTCACAGAGCCACAGCTGCCGCCATCAGCTGCCCAATCAATCAATCAATCAATCAATCAATCAATCAATCAATCAATCAGGGCGGCCAGGGAACGACTTGGGAGGACGATCTCGCCCAGGGGGGCGCTGGAGGGTCCCGGAGGAGGATCTCGTCCAGGTGGAAGGGGAGGGGAAGGAGAGGGAAAGGAACTGGGTTGGGAAGAGGTTCGCCGAGCATTTTGTTCGGGCGGAGGGCTAAGGGTGAAATCTGAAGTGCCGTTTCGACGGATTTTCGAGGTTCGAGTCTGCAGAAGGTGAATCGCAAGACGGATTGCTTCTCGATGTGCACAACCCATATGGGCATTTCACCCTGAGCCGTCCGCCTGAAGAGAATGCTCAAGTTAAGCTCCCTTGTCCGCCTTTTTTCGGGCCTTCCGGGAGGCCCTCGTCGCCACCGCTGGATTCTCTTCGAAATTCTGGCCAGAACGCACACTTGGAGAGGTCCGGGGAAGAGAAGACGGGAGAGTGAGAGGGGGAGGGGGATGTGGTGGTGTGGGCTGGATTGTAGGGGGGCGTAGTGGAGCGGGAATAATCTGCGCACGATCAACATCATTGCGCCGCAGATCTTTGCCTCGAGCGCCTGGCCTTCAAGGAGGAGGGGAGAGGGAAGGAGGGGACGGAGGGGGGACGGGGAGGAGGAGGAGGAGGAGGAGGAGGAGGAAGAGCAAAGGTCCCCAGGCACCCAGATGGTAGGTGATGAACCCTTGTGCGTGGTAAAGCTCACCACGGGGGATCGAGGCCACCTGCTTCACAATGCTGATGGCAGGTGGGTTTGCAGAGTTTGTGGAGTGAATGCGGCTCGTCGTAGCGCAATCATCCAGAATGAGTGTCCTGGCAAACCGAAGGTGCTTGCGCGGACGCACGGGTCGCATCTCATGTGGGTGCTTGGCTCGGATTTGTATTTCTGCATGCAGTGCGGTTGCCACGCGCGGAAGCAGGTCAAGGACTTGGCCGCGCGCTGCCATCGCTTTGCTGGGACAGGGAAGGTAAGGGCTTTGAAGTACATGCGCCAGGGCATGGATCCCACATCCAAGATGTTTGCGGGGCGCCCCTTCCCAGTCCACTAATTTCCCACCATCGGGCCAGTCTTTCAATGAGGGATTGTGTCCGCAGAGGCTCCAGAGGCTCCAGAGGAGGGGGAGGAGGAGGAGGAGGAGGAGGAGGGGGAGGAGGAGGGGGAGGAGGAGGACGAGGAGGGGGGGAACGGGGGGGGGGAGGGGGGAGGAGGAAAAGGAAAATGAGGAAAAGGATTCCCAGGATTTCCAGACTGCGAGGGCATACAACTTTGGCTGGTGAACGGTAGGTGTACGAATTTGATACTCGCGACGTCTTAGAAACCGGTTCCGTTCATGGTTCTCCGAGGCCCTGGAGTTGGGCCTGGTCGGAAAAAAAAAAAACACGGACGACATAAACATATTAAGCGCTTGGTGAAACTACGACCAACCTCCAGTGATGTGTAAACGTCATCTTCGGGGGAATGTCAGCACCGTACCGCTGACAGTCTCGAGAAACACATTGTGAAACGGAGCTTCTTCCATCTTTGATACCGGTGTGAATTTCGAACGCCAGTGTGCGAATTGCTGAGGCGAGAACTACATTTTGAAAACCGACCGCCCTTCGTCCTTGAAGCTGCTGCACACTTTTAAGAAGAATGCGCGCGTTGCTCAGGCGAGAGCCACATTCTGAAGATGGGCCACCGTCCATCCTGGAATCTGTTGCGCACAGTTCAAGCGCATGCCCGCGGCGCTAAGGCGATGGCCACGTTTTGAAACCCCTCGCCACGTGCGCAAATTTCAAGCTACACGGTCATGAAAGGTGAGGCAGTCGCAGGCGACACCCGGTTCGCCCTGCCGACACGTTTGGGGGTGCGACAGGGAGCATTTACCTATGCGGAAAAGGGGTGGAAGAGGAGAAAAAGGATGGGACGGGGGGTGGACGGGGGCAGAGGGGGAGGCGAAGGGTCAGGGAAGGAGGAACACGAGGAGGAACAGGAGGAGGAACAGGAGGAGGAGAAGGAGGAGGAGGAGAATGAGGAGGACGAGGAGGAGGAGGAGGAGGAGGAGGAGGAGGAGGAGGAGGAGGAGGAGAAATGAGGGGGGGTATGGGTAGGAGGAAGGAGGAAAAAGGGGGAGGAGGGTTGCCGAGGAAGGGGGAAGGAAAGGGAGGAAGGGGAGGAAGGGGAAAAGGGGGAGGAGGGGGAGGAGGAGGGGGAGGAAGGGGATCGAATCATAAACTTCTGCATGTCGACACTTGTCGGAGGCCTGCGCGGGTCTCTTGTGCCCGCGTTGGACCTCCCATAGAGCCGCTGCGGAGACGAGGCGGGGGCGCGCAAGCCTCCTGGGCGGCATGGGTCGGGGGGGCGGGGGTACAGTGCCGTTTTTTGTTATACAGGCTCCGCGTGTGGACCATGTCTCGCTTTTTAAAACAACCGATTAGTTCATGCATGAATTTATTCATACATTAATCATGTGTACGAAAACCTGCCCTGCTGGGTGAGAAGGGGCAGGACGACGGTTTCTGGACAACTTGGTCGGTTGCTGGATTGAGCGGCGACAAGTGGGGGGACGGCAATTGGGGAGGGCAGCGGGAGCTGCAGAAAAGGGGCCTTCAGGGCCCCTAAAGGGGCCTTCTCGGGCCCATGAAAGGGGGCTGCAGGGCCCACATAATAAACCTTCCCCCCACACAAATCTTCCCCCATTAAGCGACCCCCAAACGGCGTTTGCCTGTCTCTCACGGCACTGGGGCTTGTGT